ATAGTTTTAAAAAATATATCTATAATCTTAGCGATTCTATCTAACTCTCTCGGAAACTAAATTTTAAAAAATTCGAATTAGCAAATTCTTATAATTTTAATCTTTTAATTTCTTCGAAATAAAGAACTTCGAAAAATATAAACCTTCTTAAGAAAATTATAATTCTTAAGCTATAGTTTAATAATAGCGTATTACGAAAAAATTAAATTAATAATATAAATAGAAAAGCTTTGAAATAATTAAATCTTAAAATAATATTCGTACGGTAATATATTATCTACGTCGTATTCCATTAGAGGATTCTCTAATATTTTCTAAGGTTCGAGAAATTCGAATTAGTAAAGGGCTCGAAAAATTTAAAGTAGTAAAAATTAATAATAAAGAAGTTTTAATCTCTCTATAATAGATATCTACTAAATTAATTTTTAATATTTTAATTTTTTCGAGAGATAGATATTCGAGAATTACGAATTAAGTAGTCGACTTTATAAATAATATATTTTAAGCTCTATCTTATTTAGAATCGCGCTCTTTTTAAAAAATTAGTTCGAAATTCTTAAATCTTTTAATAGAATAAAACTTATCTCTATCTCGCCTCGACGTTATTTAAGTTCTTCGCCTTTCGAAATTTTCGAATTAGTAAAGTTTTAATAAAGATTTAAATAAATCGAATTTACTAATTTAACTTAATATATATTATAATACTCTTTCTTATTAGAGTCGTTTATATTAAAATTTAGAATTTTTCGAAAAAATCGAAAGTTAGTATAAAAGAAGTTTAAAAAAATTGAATCCTTTAAAGAATTCGAATTATTCGTATTTTTAAAGAATTACTTACGCTTTCTTTTCTTTAGATATATTTACTCGCGCGAAGTAATTCGAATAATTCGAGAAAGGCTAGAGAAGTAAAGATTCGAATTTTTTAAAGATAGAGAAAGGTATAGGTATAGATAGAAGATACTTCGAAAAAAACGCGTTAGCTATTTATATTATTAAGGCTTATCTTAAAGAAATCGAAGTATTAATTATTAAATTAATAGATATCTTATTATAAAGAGATTTATATATAAAGAAAAAAAAAATTAAAGCGAAAATTTCGTAGAAGATTACGATTAGCGTTAGATATTAATACTTTCCCTAATCTAGCTAGCTTATAAAATTTACGAAGACTATTTAGAATTCGAAATTTTCGCGCTATTATCCGCCCGCTGACTAAGTACGATTTTCCCTATCCCGCGCCTAAACGATTACCAACTCACGGGAATAGTAGATTCGAAGTTGCTATTCCCGTAAGTTGATAACCGTTCAGACGCGGAACGGGGAATATTCGCTTAGTCAGCCCTCGAAAAAGTCTAGTAATCGCGCTTATATCATAATTGCGAAATTTTCGCGTAAGATTTAAATAACTTATAAATATTAAATATTAAATATTTAATAATACTTTATAAAGATCTCGAAAATTTCGAAGTATATTTAAGATTATTTTAAGTTAATTATAGAACTATCGCGAAAATTTCGAATTATCTTTTAAAGTCTCGAATATTTTAAGTTAATAATAATATAATTATCGCGAAAATTTCGAATTAATAATAGAATTATTACGAAAATTTCGAATTAATAATAATAGAATTATCTCGAAAATTTCGAATTATCTCTTAGAGTCTTAAATTTCTTAAATTAATAATAGAATTATCGCGAAAATTTCGAATTAATAATAATAGAATTATTTCGAAAATTTCGAGTTAATAATAATAGAATTATCTCGAAAATTTCGAATTATCTTTTAAAGTCTTAAAAATTTTTAAATTAATAATAGAATTATTACGAAAATTTCGAATTAATAATAATAGAATTATTACGAAAATTTCGAATTAATAATAATAGAATTATCTCGAAAATTTCGAATTATCTCTTAAAGTCTTAAATTTTTTAAATTAATAATAGAATTATTACGAAAATTTCGAATTAATAATAATAGAATTATTTCGAAAATTTCGAATTAATAATATTAGAATTATCTTAAAAATTTCGAATTATCTCTTAAAGTCTTAAAACTTTTAAATTAATAATAGAATTATTTCGAAAAATTTAAGATAATTATAGAGTTATAACGAAGATTTTAAAGTATTTATAAATTTCGAAAATTTCTAATTTTTATAGAAATATCTCGAATTTTTCGAATTATTTATAAATTAATTATAAAAAAATTATATATAATAAAAATATAATAAATAATTAAGTTATTAAATTTATTTAAAAAAATAACGTTTATAATATCTATAAATTATAGATATTTTTAAAAATATAATATTAGTATATATAAAAGAATAAGATAGAGCTAAGCTATAAAATCTTAAATTTATATATATAGCTAATTATAAATTTAGAGTTATTATATTTTTTAGTTAGATCGACTAAGTTAGCCCGCTAGCTCTCTTAAGTTTTTTTATTAAAAATTTATATATAGAAGTTTTATACTTTAAAGTACTTAGTTTACGATACTTATAGTTACTTTATAATTCCTTAAATTATAAAGCTCGCTTTACGCTTTCTAACGCTATAAAAATTATAAAGTTTAGTTTACTATTAATAAAGCGAAGTAGTATTTAAATATAGTTATATAAAACGCGTTCGAGACTAAATAATTCTTTCACCTATTTATATAATTATTCTTCTTTCATCATTCTATTAATTCTATTAATTCCACTAATATAAATATAATTATTCTCGATACCCCTCGCGGAAACGTTACTAAACGCTTTAGGTATATATACTCCTTTTACCCGTCTCTTAAAGCCTCTATTAACGTCTTTAAACTACTTCTTAACGAATCTATTACTACTAATAATTAAGGTTATAAGCGATCTACTACTACTTATAAACGCGTTAGAAGACTCTTAAAAAGAGTCTAAACGAATATATTCTCTCCTATAGATTCCTTCTAAGCCAGCGATAATATCTTCTAACCCAGCGATACTATCTTCTAAAACGCGTCTTCCTCTTCTATTTATTCTTTATCACCCTATTTTAAAGCCTCTTAACGCGTATTAGATCTTAAATATCATTAAGAAAAAGCTTCTAAATAAGAGAAAGACGCTATCGAAGACCCTCTATTACGAGATCTATTATTAGACTTCTTTAATAACAACTCTTTCGATAGCCTACGATCTTTCAGCCTATCTTTTAACTCTTATTTAGATTCTACTTAGTCTTTAATAAGGCTCGCTAGTTATACCGCGCGTTATCTATATATTATAGAGCCTATATAATATAATTTAGATTCTATAAATTAGATTTATAATAGCTACGGCGCGGCGTTATAAAAAGATAAGATTATTAAATAGTACTACGATAGCGGAAAGACTAAAGTCGATATATCTAAAATAGATATCGATTAAGAAGTAGACGATATAGAATAGAGCTATAAGAGCGTCGAAACGAGTATAAATAATTCGATTAACCTTAGCGAGTATACTATTAATTAAATCCTTTATTCTTTAACGTTAGAGATCTTAAATTTTATTAATAATTATAAAGAATTTCGCCGCTATAGCGTTTAATATAATAATATAATCTTTATAATCTTATAGTAGATTACTATTAATTATTTAATTATCTTATATATATATAAAATCTAGAAAGCGATTACTACTCATATATCTATTCTAGCGTCTTTAAAGAGCGAAAAATCGATTTTTAATTAAATCTATATTATAAATAGTATCTAAGATTAGTCTATAATACGATATAACTTTCTCTTAATCGCGTTTCTTATATTAACTTTACTAGATATAACTATTATAATCGTATTAATTAGATACTTTATCGTAAAATAGCTATAATTCTTAAAAATATTAATCTCTATATTAATATTCTTAAATCGATATTTAAAAGATTAGAAATTAATTTAAATATACGGGGCTATAAGCTACTTTATAAGAACTTACGATATTATAATTTATATATCTATAATCGTCTTACTTTTGTCAGGACCAGCATAGGTGCGATATCAGTATGGGTGAGGTAGAATAGGATAATAAGGCTACCGAACTATGTATGTGGGCAGGAGGCATGATATGGTAGGGGATGCCTCCGCCAAGGCCCGCTAGCCATAGGGCTGAGGGCTGAGTAGGGTACGCTCGTAACAGTACTCCCCCCTCTCAAAGAGCCATGGCCCCCATGGCTGGTAGACCGGAGATGCAGGCCCATTGCTTGCCTTGTATCTCCAAACATCCATAGTCCTTCGAAAGAACCATCGCTCGCTGAAATCCATAAAAACAAAGACTTTTGGTGTGTGCTGTGCCAGGCCAAATTAGTACCTTTCTCCGGCGGCGACGGCGACAGCAACAGCAATATCGCGTCCCGGAGATTCCGCTAGCGCGTCGTCGATAGCACTTTACTGTAGCGTCAAGGGGCTCCCAATTTGATGAGGATCCATGAAGAATTGAATGAATAGCGACCGAAAAAGGATTTGCCATGCAATGGCCACCTGATTCCATATTCATGATGGAGAAGAAATCGATGAAATGATGCAATTTGATTGGTCGATGCCTCCCGAACCGAACCGAGCCGCAGGCGCTAAAACTCTAAATCAATATCAAATGATTCTGGTGTGAGTTTCTCCATGGGATGCCACATAGCCGATATCGATCGAGGCTATTAACGGCGGCAGTGAGGTCCATAGGTGACGCACCATGGCTTCGGAAGACCTTCAGGCATATGACAACAAGGGGAGCCCGCTTGGTGGGCCTGACATGAGGCTATTGTTGAGCAACATGGGCCTGAGGAATCGATTTCCGAATGTGAAAAAAAATAAGGCCATTCTAAAGACATCGGATGGTTTCAATTCGTTCAAAAACACGATGTCCGAGGATTTGCCGGTGCCCATGCTGATTTCGACTGCATTTGCCTGCTGCGTCCTCATGACCATATCGTTCGTAGGTCTGCTGCGTTCTCATGACCATATCGTTCGTAGGTCTGATGCGTCCGCATAGCCATGCCTATCGCCTATATTCCTCTGGATCAGGGCGAGGAATAATAGCATATTTGCCACGTGGTTTCATTGCATCTTCGAGTCTCGCCTTGGCATACTGTTTGGCAAATACCTTTGCTTTCTTGTCTGCCAGCCGTTCGGCATACATCAGATCACGGTATTCTAACATAATGAGGTGTTCCTTCAGGTCTGGCAATGTCCACTTTCTTCCGTACATAGCATATTCGTCCAGGAGACGGAGGTTTGCCCTATTCCTTAAGTCGATTATGAGATCTAGCTGAATGACATTGATCTGATATTCTTTATCGCCATACTCCTGCATGTACGCGGCATGTTTCATGAACTCTGTGTAATACTCGGAAAATGACTGACTATCACGTCTTCTGAAGGTTGAATAGTCATAAACATTCCTTTGTCGAATAACGTCTGCTGGAGTCTCATAAAGATCACTTAGTTGATCCAGGAGGTCGTCGACTGAGAGATAAGGATTTTTTGTAGTCTTTCGGCGTCTAGGTACCGTGTGCTCGACAGCGTTTCCTCCAAGGCGCGATACCACGTAGTTTATTTGAAAAGCGTCGGTAGGGTAGTGGTCCTTGTTGAGGCTGAGTTTGTCCATAATTCTCATTTTCCAGTCCTCAAATTTGGATCTATCAACACCATTGAAGATAGGTGGATCCGGTAGCCTCGGGCTGAGTGGCTGTCTGACTGGCTGTGGCGAGATTGGTCGATGTCGATGTCTTAGTGCTTCGAAATCTCGTGGTATAGGTGGAGGTGGGGACGGGGGTGGAAGGGCAGAGATGCCAGCCGAGTTTTGGGCCTGTGTCTCTTCTTGCTGTCCTGGTATCTCCTGCGAAGGAGAAGAAGCTGGGATGCCAGGCGGATGACTTGATGTCTCACGATATCGCTGGTAAAGGTCCTCAGCAGATAGAGATCGCTGCACACGTGGCATACGAAGTCGTGGCGAATTTGGAGGCGAATATCTCGCATGTAGGTCTTCGTAAGTAAGATAAGGCTGGTCGCGGTGTGTAGGAGATCGTGGTCTAGAGGGAGTATTCTCAGTCGACGGTCAGGTGCCTTAGTCCTCTGACAGGTGTAGCAATTCGAATGTAGGTGCCACTGTCGTCCTCATTCCTCGCCAGTAGTATTCCCTTTTGAGTAGTTGATAGGTATCCCCGGGATGGCCGCATGACGGATGATCATGCACCTCTCGGATAACATCGGTGTATATGTCATCGGATACCCACAAACTGTCCTTGGGTAAAAAACCCCGTCTTGAGCGGAGAGTTGACCCCGACCTTAGGCGATAGAGATTTCCGTAAAATATGGCGACTTCCTTGTTGGCCCCTACTACTTTGTGGTAGCTAGGGTCCCCGTAGTAAGGTAGGGCGCGGTGTGTAGGTGATCGGCGATGCGGAGGAGGTATCTTGGTGTTGATGTAGGTGGATTTGAAGAATTCATGATGTGTTAAATATAGGTAAGAACGGAGTGGAGAGATCTCTAGAATTTCGGTATTATGAAGGTAGTGATAACTCGAGAAATGTGATAGATCTCTGTGTTGAGAGTGTGACGCCTAAAATAGTATTATTTCTTTGCGGGGGTCTACAACACTCGTTCCTTAACCAATCAGATCGTCGTAAATATAATAAGTACTTTAAATAGTGTCTTTTCGAATGGGAGGAAGTCCGCCGGGGGTGTGTTAGCCGGTGATAGACTTTTTGCGGGGAACGGAGCGGAGAAGGATTTCTTGTATTCGATGTAGGGGACTCGTTTTTTGATGGTTTGGGCTACCGTTGATGGTGTAGGTTGTTTAATGTAGGTTCTTTCGAATGATGTAGGTGTTTGATGATTTGAATGTATGGTGGGGCTTCTGTATGGTAGAAATACCCAGCGTTTTCTTTATCAGGCTCGGTCGCTTGCTCCGAGCAGAAAGTGAAAAACCCGTCAATTCTCTTCGCCGGGGGGTGTATGAAGGAGCCTTATTATAATGTCAGGACCAGCATAGGTGCGATACCAGTATGGGTGAGGTAGAATAGGATAATAAGGCTACCGAACTATGTATGTGGGCAGGAGGCATGATATGGTAGGGGATGCCTCCGCCAAGGCCCGCTAGCCATAGGGCTGAGGGCTGAGTAGGGTACGCTCGTAACAACTTTAGATAAGATCGCTATCGCCTAGAAGAGTAATATTAATAATCTATTAGATATATCTAAGGCTAGAAATATATTAATAGAGGCTCGAAGTAATAAGAGATTCAATATATTATATTAGTATTTAGCCTATATACTCTTACGCTATTCTCTTATCTTTCTATTTAACGAATAGTTATAATATAATAATATATTCTATATAGATAATATATTAAGTAAAAATCTTCTTATCTAGCGAAGTAGAAACGACGAAGTCGTTCTACGAGTTAGAGAAACTATTAGCCGAGGTAGCTCTATACGAGTAACGCTTACCTTATATTATAGATCTATATTATTTATTTCTTCTATTCTATTAGTCGCTAACTTTCTATAAATATATAATATAGAGTTATTCTAATAAGTTTAATCGTTTTCTTTACTACGATAGACTACTATAGTATTTCATCTACGATATCTATATAACTATCGAAAGTAATAAACTTTATTAGCTAAAGATAAATTAGAAGATTATTCGAGCTAATATCTATTAAGTAGTTATTGATACTTACATCGATAAAATTATTATAGACGATTAGACTAGCAAATAACGTATTATTCTCTCTTTCTTCTATTAAGAAGACTTACGATTTATAAAATAACTCTACTAGAATATTATTACTCTATTTATTAAATTCGATTAACCGAACCTCTTTACGACTTTTATCTGTAATTCAAAATAAATCGAGATTATCGAAAATCTTCTATTTAGCGAATACGCTATTAATCGACTTAATCTAATTATTAGAGTATTTAGACTAAAGCTAAAGACTCTTATAAACGATATTCTAAAGAAGAAGATACTAGATATACTCTTATTCTTCTTACCCCCTATTATAATATAGTAGCCCTTTCTTATCTCATTTAATAAAGTAGCTCTTTAAACGATATATTAATTAAATAATTAATATAGATTATAGTTTCTAGAGATACTTCTAGTATAATTTAGCCTCTTATACGCCGTAATTCTTACCAGTTAGCCCTACGATATCATCTAAAAAAATTCTTTACTTTCATAAGGACGAAGCACGATCGATTAAAATATCGATTAGCCTTAACTCTAACTAACTTTACGGGCAATAGATCGAGTTCCCGCCTATGCCTATATTATAGAATTTCAAAAACGAGGCCTACCGTATATCTATATTCTTATTATTTTATACTCTAAAGATCGATTCTTTAACGCCGCTAAGATCGACGCTACTATTAATACTAAGATCTCTAATTAAAAACTATTTCCTAATCTCTATATAATTATTATTAGATATATACTTTATAAGAACTATAGCTAGTATATTATTAATAGAATAGATACTATTCTATCTTATTAGAACTTAGATAAAAATATATATAATAAGCGATTTCCGAAGGACTTTAATAACTATATCGTCTTTAAACTAGACTTTAAATACTCTATATATCGTCGACGTAGGCCTATTAAGATATTAGACGATAAATTTAAATAGAATTATTAAGTAATATTTTATAGTCTCTATTTATCGACTAAATATAACGCTTATATTAATATAGAGATTTACGCTAATATTAAAGTCTATAAATATATTTTTAAATATATTTATAAGAGTAGCGATCGAGTTAGTCTTTAAATAAAATATAAGAGCGATATAGATTAAAACGATATAGGCTTAGACTAGATAAACGAGATTTAAGAGTATTAAAATATATAATAAATAGACTCTACGAAAGTCTATTAAAGGATTTTTAGCTTTAAATTATATAATTATAATTCTTCTATTAAACGATTATTTATTTATCTTTTAAATTAATATAATATAATATTTAATAACGATAATAATTTAAATTAGATAGTTAATATAGTATGTAAACGTTAGATTAAGCTAATAGCCTTCTTTTAGCTAAATCAATAATATCGATAGCGAAAACGAATAGAAAATCTCTTCTATATCGATCTATTAGAGTAATATATCTAAAAAAAAAATAAGCGAGATATATTTAAATAAAGTCTACGTTAGAGGCGTAGAAGTATTATTAAAAAAATATACTATATTAATTTAAATACTAAAAAGCTCTTCTATCTACGATATCTCCTTCTAAATATATTAAATTCTATATTCTTCGAAGACTTACGTATGATAAACGATAATATTCTTTCTTTCTATTATAATATCTATATAGTAAAAGACTTACTTTACGATAACGTCGAATAAAATTAAGTATTAAATAAAGTAACGATCTAATAGAGAGAATACGCCTTATAAGATCTCTTTATAATAATTCTACTATAATATAAGCCTAGTAACTCTCTAGATCTATAAAATAATTATAAATTAAGATATATAAGTAATTTCTTCTTTATTAAATAGAAATACTTTAAATATAATATAAATAGCTTATCGCGCTAACGATAATATTAAAATATTACGACTTTTTTTAATATAATATTTCTTTTTTTATATATTAAAACTTTTCGCGCTAGGTATATTTTTCTTTAATAATTTCTTTAATAAATTAAAGTACTTTAAGCTATAAAATAAGAAGATTTCCGCGCTAATAATAATTTTAAAACATCGCGATTTTTTTTAATATAATATTCTTTTTTTAGCTATTAAAACTTTTCGCGCTAGGCGTATTTTTTCTTTTTTTATCCATAAATAATTTAATTCTCCTCTCGCACTTTACGTATATTTCTTAATTAATACTTATTATTCTTTATTTAAATTATCTAATAATCTTATTTATATCCTTTAAACTTAGTATTATATTCTTTCTCTATCGAATAATACGTAATATAAATAAATCGTTATCGAAGACTTCTGTCTTCATTTAATATAAATTCGATTAAAGAAAAATAATATTAGCTCTATAAAGAATATTAATCTTATTATTAACTTTAATCTATCCGTAATTTAGCGAGACTATAAATAATATTATATTAATAATCGAAATCGACTTCTACGCGAAGTATATAGCTATCGAACTAATATCTAAAATTAGATATAGACGAGTTTTAATAATAATTAAATTACTATAGCTAATACTATTTAAAACGCGATCTCTTATTTTAATAGTTAACTCTTCTTTCTTAATAACTATAGAAGTATTAATAAGATTATACTTTAGAATATTATATTACGAAGAGTACGAAATAACTCTAAGATAGCTATTACTATAATTTTATCTAATATCGCCTTTATTCTCCTTTAAAATAGTCTTATCGCTTATTCTTACTTCAAGATTTCTCTTAATACTACTACTTAGTCTAATTACGATATATTAATAAAGTCTAATTTAGCTTAATTATTAGAGGCGATCGAGCTTATTTTCTAAGACGAGGTCTCTATATAAAACCGCTATAATATCGAGATCGTTAATTGTATACTTTAAGATATTCGAAAGAACCCCACTTCTTTTAATAATATAGTTATATACTTCTATAATAACTTTCATTAAATTCTTTTAATTATTAAGAATATTAAGTTAGATCGTATCGCTTAAACTATATTAAAGACGTTCTATCTTTAAAACTATATTTAAATTCTTAGACTAATAAAAAATATAAGGCTTCGAAATCTTAATTTTATTAATTAAGGTCGAACTAATATAAAGGAATTCGCTTAAAGACTATTAAATATAGATAATAATATCTTAGTAAGCTTCGGAGAATAAGAAGCTATCGATTAATCTATCGAATAGCTATTAGACGACTCTATTATTTAGCTAATTAATACTATTTATAATAATCTTAGCTTATATTAAATAGCTAATTTCTATACGTTTAAGGTGATTCTTTATACTCTTAATAAGAATATCGCTTAATTTAATAGTTAAGTTCTTAATAAGTTTTCTAAAACTAAGATTATTTATAATAGTAGAGATTAAGTCATTAATAAGAAAGATAGCTTTCTTCTATTTATTAAAATAATAAATATCTTTAAATTAACCTCGCTTTCACTCTATTACTTAGAGTTAAAATAGAATTATATAATAATACTACTAAGGAATTTAGAGTAGCGTATAAATCTATATAATAGAATATATTTATAAATTAAGTATATTAGATCTAAAATACTTAATTACTATATTCTTAAAAGCGAATATAATAATAAATAATACTATATATTACGTATCCCTCTAGCTCCGTCTAATTCGAACGATCTATATACTCTCTTTCGATATATTTAATTCTTAATTCGATTAATCTTTAGTATAACGATTAATAAAGCTTAAGATTAATTATTATAATAGATCGATCTATATTTATATCTCGAGATCTTTACTTATAGTTAATTATATATAATTCTAAGTCGAGTTATTAATAAGACTAATCTATTAATTATAATTTTAAACGATTTATTAAAAAGATAACTTACTTAGTTAACGAGATATATTAAAAATAAGATTATTAAGTAAATACTTCTTTTTTAGATAAGAATATAATTAATTAGCGATTTATAGTAATAGAAGTAGGCCATTTATCGTATAGAAAGTAAGTAGAGTTCAATTTAACTTAGAGTTAAGGCTTTTATCTTCTTTATTAATTTCGTAGTAATAAAAGTAGGTTAAAAACGTATAGTAAGCGATTAGAGTTTAATTTGTACTTAGGGCTAAGGCTAAAATTCGATCTAACTTAAAAAAATCCAACTTCATTTAACTTAGAAAAATGAAAAATTTAACTCCATAAATTTAATTCATAGGCCTTTACTTATTTTATATAATAAACTATAATAGTTTATATAATAAAGAAAAAAAGCTTTAAAATATAAAATAAAAATAAAAAAGTAGATTTAATTTTATAATATCTTTATATATATTAAGATATAAGAAAATAATAAATAAATAAAAATAAAAAATAAATAAAAATAAATAATAAATAAAAATAAAAAATAAATAAAAATAAGTAAGTATATTAATAAAGAAAAGAATTATTATTTTATATATATATAAATATATAGAATAGTTATTAATATTTACTTTTAGAGAATTTAAATTCTTTATTAACTCGAAATTATCGTTCGAAATTATCGTTTAAAATTATTATTCGAAATTATCGTTCGAAATTATCGTTCGAAATTATCGTTCGAAATTATCGTTCGAAATTATCGTTCGAAATTATCGTTCGAAATTATCGTTTAAAATTATCGTTTGAAATTATCGTTCGAAATTATCGTTTAAAATTATCGTTTAAAATTATCGTTTGAAATTATCGTTCGAAATTATCGTTTAAAATTATCGTTTGAAATTATCGTTCGAAATTATCGTTCGAAATTATCATTCGAAATTATTATTCGAAATTATAGCTACGATAATTTCGAATAAAAAAAATCGAAAATTTTAAATCGCTTAAATTTTTGCCAAGGGTAACCGTTCGGGACGGTTACCAGACCACTTTGAATTTGAGTTTATCGTATTTACTAGTCAAATTTGTATATATAAAGAATATATTTAATATGAGTTGATAATTGTTCTCTTAGTGGTGGTAACCGTCCCTAAAACTCGAATTTTTCGCTATAATAAAAGTTCGCGAAAAATTCGCGGCGCTTCGCGTTTTTATAAATTGTTAGTAGTACCCCTACGGGGGTCCATATTTAGGTCCAAATAGGGGTGTCTGGCTTCGGGGCTCGATGACGAGCCCCCTACGGGGCCCTACGAAGGCCCTACGGGGGGTGCTGTTATGATATTCTTCTATTTATAAAGCGAAAATATCGAATTTCAAACGTTTTAATTATTTGATAATAGAGGGTAAGGCTTAGGGTAAGGCTTAGCGTGGATAACCGTCTAGGCGCGCCTGGACGGTTACCAGACCCCGTTGAAGGCCACATTCAAAAGTCGTTTTTTTTCTACTTATCATAGGGCTGAAATAGGGCTGCAGGGGTAAATAAGTAACTTATTTCATAAGTAGAAGTAACTTTGATAGCCCCCACTGTTCCCGGCAGCGCGCCTGATCTGATGCCAGCTTGAGACGTAAATGAGCCTCGCTAGAAGACAACTGACTCGGTCAACGAGATATAATTCAGTTCCAAAGTGAGACGTAAGCTGGTGCTGGGCTTTTGTGTTTTCTGACGTCTCCAGGACTACGAAAAGCGCTATTTTTAGTAAGCGCCACCTTACCAAGCCGTTACAGGCTTAGCCACCTTACTACTCAGCCTCTTCCGAAACCCGAATTCGCTAAGCCACCCTCCATTCGCGTGACGGTCCGATTCAACGATCATACAAAACCAAAACAATCTCTTCTCTTCAAAAACCTCATTCTTCGATCTCACCTGCATACTCCAGTCCTCCATACACTCGTTTGCTCGAAGCTCGAATAGTGAACAAGTACCACTGTCCTTCCTAACTAATACAACCTCACATCAACCTCCAGCAACCGCGATCATGGGAAAAGCTGGCCGCTTCGCCTGCATCTTTGTGCCTATGGCCTTGACCATCGCCTCTCTCGTCTGCCTGATCATAGTCGGTCTTGGAGGAACGAACAAGAGCAACAGCTTCTACAACAAACTCTATTTCTTCAGAGCCAACACCTCCCACATCAGCATCGACCCTTCATTGCTGAATCTCCCCTCCAACGCCCTGACAGACACGATTCTCAACGATACGACCTCCGTCGCCAAATCAGCCCTTGGTGTCAAGGACTTCTACCATGTCAGCTTGTGGAACTACTGCTCTGGAGACTTTCAGACCAACAGCAGCGGCAGCGTGACTGACCACGTCACCTACTGCTCGCCACATCAGAACGAGTTTTGGTTCAATCCGGTAGAGGTATGGGATCTCAACAACACTGGCATCGACCAGTTCTTCAGCAAAGAGTTGCGCGATGGTCTGAATACATACAAGACCGTTGCGAAATGGATGTTCATCGCCTACCTCGTTGCGCTCATCAGCACCATCGCCGAGATCTTGGTTGGCTTCTTAGCTCTCTTCTCACGCTTGGGCAGCCTGGCAACTACCATCGTGTCAAGCATCAGCTCCCTCTTCTTCATCGGATTTGCCCTCACGTCTACCATCCTTTACGCCACGTTGACGGGCACCTTCAATGATGCGTTGACGAAATACGACGTCCATGGCTCCCTCGGCAGTAGCATCTACGTGACGATCTGGCTCGGTGTTCTATTCTCTCTCGCTTCAGGCCTCTTCTGGCTTTTCAGCTCGTGCTGCTGCAGTGGAAGGAGCGACAAGATCAAGGGATATGGTGATGGACCAGCAAGAAGCAGATTCAGAGATCAACAAGGCCCATACCAGTATGAGAGGGTGGAGAGTCCGTTGAGGGGCGGACAGGGCTATGGGGCGCCGCAGAAGGGATATCAGAGCGGGCCAGGGTATCAAGCGCCGCATATGCCTCTGAACAACGTTGGAGATAGGGGGACGGCTTATGAGCCTTTCAGGCATGAGGATGTGTAGGGCTTGTTTAAGAGAGTGACGAATAACCTTGGCATATTAGCGGCATTTTGCAGGCATTTTCTGGGTAGCATGCTATGAGATCACGTTTTCTTGTTTTAAATCTTCTTCAATCTGTTCACTTAGTGTTCCACAAAAAGCAATCATCATGGCCTCCACCTCTCTATCAGATTTTCCCTCAGCCCATCCCAACATCTACAATCCCTCGATGGCCAACACTCCATCACAGCTCTCGCCCTCACTTCTCGCAACCCCTACGAAACATCGCGCCTCCACACCTTCCCAACCACCAAAGCCGTCCTCCCCCATTCCATCCATCGCTCCGACCCCGCTCAAGAGCTACCGGTCATCCAACCCCGATCAACCCGCCGAGAACCCCCAAACCCAAACCCGCAAACCAAACCCGTGACGAGATTCCGCAGCGCACCAAGCACCCACCCCACCCCCCCCCCACCAATGCCTCTATCCATCATACGCCAAGTAACTCCATCCCCGAGCCGTCTAGACCCGAGCGAGTAACATTTGGCATTCACAGAGACAGTCCCCACAAGTACCGCGTCCGGCTACGCGGCGAACTGTACTCACGACGACGACGACGACGACGACTGAGCCCAGGATCCGCGCTTGCGGGCGGGCAGCGACGTTGGAGGAAGGATGGGGCGTGCGTGGCTGGGACGGTTGGTCGGGTGTGAGATTGAAAGTTGCAACGAGGTCGCCGGTGTCTCATTGGTGGGATCTGCACGAGTAGGGTAGATTGTGCCTTTGGTGGAATCGTGACAGACGGGACTCGAGTACGAAGAGTCGCTTTTTCGAGGCTGGAGGCTGGGATGGGAGTACTGAGCCACTTTAGCGTGCTTGGAGTCGGTCCGGAGACGAACATTTCGAGATGCTTTTGGGACTGAAAGATCTCGGGTTCTCGAGGAAGTTGGGGGATGCGTTGGTAAGATGGCTGGCCTGCGGGAGAGAAGCGGTAAAGAAGAAGGACCGGTAGCGTAGGGTATTATGGGCTGGTTTGATAGATTGGGGAGCAGACTGCACTTCAATGGAAGTGGGTTGCTGAGCGAGATGGCAGCCGCGTAAGTGTTGCATGTCACCGGTGGTGTATCATTCCCCATGGACGATGTGGCTCCCCATCGTTACTCGTGAGAATAGAAAATTAATTTCCTAAGACTTCGACTTTGAGTCCTTTCTGGCTTCGTTCCATTTCCTTTGCTGCCCCTATCCCTCGTGCTCTTGTCAACTTGACTTATCGCTCTTGCTGGCAGCCCATCGTTCTGTAAAAAATGCGTCGCTATCGTTTCGTACTCCTATCTTCTGAATCACGTACTCGATGTCTCTTTGTGTTCAACCGCTGTTGATGAGATCTTTAAACAGTCAGATACATCATTCCGATTTTTCTTACTATGACAAGCGATGAGATTATTGACCTTTGTTTTGATACACACATATTGACGTGTAGAATATCAAGTCTTCTGGTCGTGGCAGGTGCAACAGATAGAGATCTTTTTCGTACTGATCTCTCGGACAGCACAAGGATAAACGTTTACGGTTATCGTTGGGATTTATTTTGAAATACAGAGATCAACTTGATCAGATAGAGGATTCGGCTTCAGGGTAGTGCTTGAGACATGAGTGACTCAATCTAAGTAAGAGAAACTAACGTGAAAGTCTTATTCCCGGCTTGAGAAGGCAACGTGTGAGCCATTTGAACCGCTGCTTGAGACATTTTGATCGAAGAAGAACAATCCAGAGCAGGGACGGGTGGTATACTGTGGAGGGAGAGAGGTTTATGGGAGTGTATGTGTGTGCGTGTGTGTGTGTGTGGGGCTAATTACCGAATCATACCCCGAAACTATGAATCCTTACCGAATCATACCCTAATTACCGAATCAACCCACACCAAAATTGGGGATGATTCGGTAAATAATGCTTGGGGTAGATTCGGTAATTTATCAAACTTCTGTTTAGACTATTGGGAGTGAAGACTGTGTGGAGAGTCACAGACTGGGTGTAGACAGGCTGGGGGCAAATTTAGCCCACTGTTAGCAGCCCCCACGGGGGCCCTGCGACGGCCCTACAGGGGGCCCTATTTAGGTCTAAATAGGGGTGTCTGGCTGTCAAGCGCAAAAAAGCCTGGTCCCGGGGGAGTCTGCGCTTGACAGCCAGACCCCTATTTAAACCTAAATAGGGCCCCCGTGGGAGCTGCTGCTAACCCCCACTCGGCTTTCGTCTGATATTTAAGCTGGTAGGTCACCCATTAAATACGGTCGGAGATATTTCCTCTTTTCTATGGTCGGATGGCCCAGGTCGCGAATTTTCTCCTTTGCGATTTTTGTCATGAATGGCAAATTACCAAATCATACCCCAAGTAATGGAATTACTGAATCATACCCCTAGGGGTATGATTCAGTAATTAGGGTATGATTCGGTAAGGATTCATAGTTTCGGGGTATGAATTAGTAATTAGCCCGAAGGTGTGTGTGTGTGTTCTCGTATTCGAGAGACTTCAAATGAAAAGGCCTCCTTGACCGACATCTCGTTCACACATATAGGCCGAAAGAACGAACCGAGTATATCCATCCTCCAGGCGACAGCGACCTCGATGAGAAGGTACATGCGACTGGTGGGAATTTGCTGGTGAGACTGGCGATACGGCACCATGGATACTCGTATCATCCGAATGGAACGCAGGTCGTCCCTTCTTTCCTTCCTTCCTTCCTTTCCGATTGACGCCATCCCCCATCTGCCATCTGCCACATCACATCCGACATGCGCCAGGCGTTGATGCTGATGCCAAGCATTTGAGCATTGGCCCTTTACGGCCTAGCCTATGAGACTAAAGCGCAGACCTCAATCAGCAATAGGGCAATAAGATCAAAGCAAAGGTACCTATTCCCTCCTCGTTGATCTACAACTTATGCATCTGGGTCATACGAGATGCATGGCCAAGCATATTACATCTTCAGACTGTTACCACTAGATAGCTGTTCGTTTTGCCCTCAAAATCCAAGTATCTCTTTCTACAAACCATTTATCCCTCTGCCGCTCCAGTACCCCTGCACAATCCATTGGAACCTTCCACTTTTCCATATAGTGCACGTAATAGCCTAGAGTACAACTTCTTAGAAGCGCTGCTGATGAATTGTCACCGTGCCATGGTCGTATCATTCTACTTCACTGTCCTTCTAGAATTGCAACGCGCCACAATGTCAGCAACATGTGTGATGCAATCGCGGACAAAAGCCTGCAAGGTTGCTCCCATTCTCAGAGCGCAGCCGGCAAAGGGATTGACTTTTGTTTAACCTCAGCGAGCCAGAGCAGTGGAAAGAAGAAGGGCCTCCGCCAATTTGTCCGCTCGAATGCAACGCGCGATTATCGTCAGAAGAAGAAACGGAGCGAGATAAAACGTCAAAGACAGCCTGGAGGTAACAAAATTCGGCTTGACATCAGTGACTCGTCACCGTTGCTCGGTCAACGTTGCCAACCCCAGCACGCAATGATGTCGATCGCTCGTGTTCCATATCTTGTGGGCATGCGAAATGCATCCATAAATGCAGATATCCTCCATGCAAGGTCCGTCAGGCCCGAAACAGCTACTTGAAGAAGACAGTATTGATCCATTCGATGCTTTGCCAGTTGGAGGAGATAGTCGATACAATGGCTATGTTTTGAACCAATGTAAGCTTCTGTCGTACCCTCCCTTTGAGCGTGCAACCCCATATTCATGCAGCCACTGATTCTACAATGACAGTCAAAATTGGGGCTCTCAATTTCCGCTTGGTAGAAACCGGCAGAGGTCAACATCCTCTGACCAAAAGATGGATGCCCCACACCGTGGCAGACCCTCTCCTCTTCCTCGCAACCCTCAATTTCGCTGCGGCCCACCTTGATAACATCCAGGGAAGGCCTAGTAGTCCAAGGACAATAGCCCAGAAGATAGAGACAATCCGTCTCATTTATTCGAGACTCCAAGGTTCTGTCGATTCTGTGTCCGCTACCACGATAGGCGCCGTGGCACTGCTTCCAGCAATGGAGATAATATGACCCTATTCGGATGTCCTAGAGAAGTATCCTCTCACAAGTCGTCGTTTGCTTCAATCATTGGATAACGCCCGATGATTTGGCCACGACTTCCCCGAGCGTTCTGATTGTGCGGCATGGCCTCCTCTTTCTGGCTTTCTTTCACACCTCTAGCCCACTTCTACGTGAGCAGCCAAAAGGTTCCAGACCTATTAACGCTGACCACTCGATTTCAAAGCACGACTGGCAACCACCACGAGCTGAGCGTTGACATGGTTGCTCTCGAAGAGATGGTAAGGATAAGAGGCGGCTTGCAGCAGTTCGGGTGGGATGGAATGCTTCAGTTGTTCATCTTATGGTGGGTTATCACAAGAGACGAAACCGGAAGTTGAGAAAGACTGGTGGCGACTAACTGGAGTCTTTCGTATTATACAAGCAATATTTGCTCTCCTCAGCCACGCTGTTAGCACCTCCTCGATTTCCGCGGTCACCAAACCACCCGATCATCCTTTCCGAATTTTCACCTTCTTGCCCGATTTTATATGACCGGGGTACCTCAGAAGAAGTCTGTGCAAAGATGATAGACATCTTCCACGACTTGCGTTATCTTACGGATCGACTGACCAGTTTTGACGACTCTATCAGACGTGGAGAGCTGATATCCCTCGATAGCGTGCGATATAGCCTCTAACATCGGGTGATCTCGCTTGAGACTCGGAAGCCAAAGGGGCAAATGCAGAATCTCGACTATCTGCTCTCAGCTTGCCGTATTGCCATGCTCATCTTCCTCAATCGTGACCTTTTCGGGCCTCGTAACCCGGATATCAGGCAACTGATTGGCCAATTGGAAGACTTTGTGCTTGAAAAAGACTGTTAAATCATCGATAAAGCACTTCTCCAATTGTAATGGGGATACTATACATGGCCAGTGTTCATAGGAGGCAATCATTCGCTGAACGAGGAAGATACAACATTCTTCACTAAGCGCATTGCAACATCTACGCGAGTCTGGCAGGCGAACGGTTTTGGTAGCTGGCTAGAGATTTTGAACCGTACAAAGAGGATCGGTTGGGCCAATGCTCTACAAAATGCAGAGTGCGAAGTCTTTGGAAAGCAGGTTGAAAGATTCACTAACAGCAACTGGGAACTTGCCCAAGGGCTATCAGCACATACATACTAGCCTGCCAAACTCGAGACACTACCGATTGCTTAGTCGTCGGCGGCAAAGATTAAATGTCATTTGCTGTTCCTCCTCCCTTAACTAATAGCCCCAATACTGCCGTTGTTAAACCCACTTGCACTCTGAGTTACAAGTCGAACCCACATTGTTTAGTCTTCTTTCACGAGAAACGACATCATAAGATACTCCCCTGTTTGTCTAACACTCATATCTTTCCCCACTTTGTGCGTAGCTCGTTGTCACCTTCCAAGACAGATCTCTACCTGCTCTTCTTTCTTCTTCAGCAACAACAACAACAACAACAACACTCCACAGCAGCATCTACCAAAATTCCCGACTCGAGAACTTCATAGCTTTCTTCTCCCTCAACATGGATCCCTTCAATCATAGTCTCGCACCATACACGCCGAACCCGCCTTCCACTAAGCCGACTCCCTACCCCCACGCATTCGGCGCCTTTCACTCAAGCCGCCAGACCCCCAATCCGAACTATCCCAAGAGCTTCGACCGCAAGCCCACCAACTCGACGTACTACCTGACCTTCTCAAGCTACTACGTCCAGCATCTCCGCCCCTCCCCTCACTGCACGACACGCAACCCGAACTACGAAATCTACCACAAAACAACCCCAGCGTCCCACGACCGAGTACACGACATCGCCATTCTCCGCGAGGACGTCGACAAGCGCGGAGGCGTCGCCGTCATAAATTACATCCGCGATACCCTCACGACACTCATCACCTACCCCAAGACGGGCCTGACGCAAGATCTCGTGTGCGACCCGTCAAGGTTCGACGACGACGACCGCACCGGTGCCGTGGTCCACATGCGGGACTACCTCGTCCGCATCGGTCACGAGTGCTGCGTCTGGCAGCCGCTGGGGCCGGCGAGGGCAAGCAAAGACGGAACGATCGTGGGCTTGATGGAGCTTCGCAACGTCAGGGATGGGAAGCTGGGGGCGGTTCTGGGCAGCGAGCTGGTCGATGGGCCGGATACCAAGAGACGCGTGATGGTGAGGGGGGAGTGGGCGCCTGGGAGTGCGGTAGGTGACACTCGCTCTGATAATTCTTTTCTTACATTTCCCCAATCCTATGAAACGTTTTATTTCTCCAAGGAAAGAAAAACAAAGAGAAGATCGTCGAATCGAGAGACAAACAAAAACTAATTAAGATCTCTAAACCCAGCCATTCGAACAAGTCATCGCCAGTCTAGTCGCAATGCTGGGCCGCGAGTGCGACAGGGTAGAGCTAGTCAAGCAGAGGTGCGGGTTCATCTTGCCGTAGATAGATATGGTGCAGATCCACAGCGCTCGATAAGAAGTGGAAAAGGGTTTAACCCAACACATTAAAAAACCCAACACCAAAAAAAACACCAGCAAAGGCAGAAAAAAGCAAAACAGGGGCAAACATACAAAAGCCCACACCAAGCCATAGCCCATAAATATGCCAGCCAACCAAAAACCACTTTTAAAAAGATTATAAAAGCTCCCTCATTAACCAGTTGGTTGCTGTTCCAAACACACCACAACTCGTAGAATAACGGTCACTGGTAGTGGACCAGTTAGTTGGTCCACCATTCCAGCCCTGGCTCGATAGTTCTTTGTTGGAAGCAGATGAGGAAGCTTTACGGACATGATGATGATGATGAACGAGAGCTTGGATCGATTCTATTCTACAAAGATACAAAAAGCAGGTGCACTGACTGCATTGCACGTATGTATCATCGAAGGCAAAATCCCACAACGGTCTCGATCACATCCGTGCTATCTATCCTCTCATATCCGCATCAAGCACCAGCAATGCATTCCGCTCTGAAACCTTCGCTTGATAAAATGTAGCCTTTCCTGAATAATTCAACCCTCGACTTCTACAACCCAGTCTCGAACCTGATCCAAAGACGTGCCTGAACCAAAGACGGTCGGAACGGTGGCGTATCTGGATGCAGCCACGATGCTGTTATTCTCTGATTACTCGGCCAAACAGTGACACCGTTGAACGAGAAGAACTCACCTTGCTCCGGCGCAAAACATCCACATCCGCTTCGCTCCCCTCAAACCAGACAACAACATGGAAAAGACACCGATGAAAACAAGCACGTTGGAAACCCGACGCGCGCGCGAGCAAACGACCTCAACGTCAGCCAATCAACCGACCTACCTACACCGCCGCCAGCATTTAATCTTCTTCGACGCTGCAACCCTCGCCTCGCCTCGCCTCCAGCTCCGTCCAACACGCACAAACCTGCAAAGCGCGTGAGCCCCAGCCCAAACGGATCTGATCGCCGATCCGGGGCGCCATTGGCCCAAAGCGGCTTTTCCGACACCGACTGCAAATACACTGTAAAAGGGTTGCACATGTTGTAGGAAGATAGATCCGTACTAGTACGTGCATGAGCTACCGAAACGCTCCGACTGTTGAAAGCTGTCCCGAGGGCAGTGGTTATTGTTCTCGAAGCGCCATCTATCTCAGCTGGATCATCGTCCGACGGCTGCGATTGTGGCGGGTTTGGTGCATGTGATGGAGTGTTATGGTTTTGGGGCTGTGGGTTTTACGTACTGCTGACTGCTTGCTGCTTCAACGGGGTAAATCAGGCGCTGTTGATGCGGGCTACTTGGGCTGATTTGACGGCGTAGATCAGAGCAGTTTTCAAATCCGCGTCTTTGTGGTGAGCTTTGGGAAGTGAAGGGAAGGGCATATGGGCTGTGTCGGGGCGAGGTGGGTATGGCATCCGTTTGCGTGGCAGTGTTTAGCTGGAGGCGCTTCGATGTGTAAGCGTGCAACTACCACACTAATATTTGTTGTAAAGGCTGCGACTTTGAGATTTTGGACATGTGTTTTGTGACAGTGATGTTCGTTGATGATGCTGGAAGAAGTCGACAAAAAAATTAAATTAAAAATAAAGCCCAAAGTCATCGTCGAAACGAGCGAGGAGCATAAGGAATATCGTCCAGAGTACTAGGGCTCAGCTTCCGGATTCAATAACCCGGAAAGGCAGTGCCGGTTCATGTACTAAGGCTTATGCACCATCGATCGAACCAATAGCGCACTGTACTTATCCGTGAACCGTCGAGACTCCTGCTCCGAACGTTTTATCCAAACGCAACCCGGCCTCCCTAATCTCCAATGCTCCACCTCTCCATGCCGATTCCAGCCACGAGAAGCCAGCGCCGTCCATTCGCATCGCGATAAGCTGCTAGGGAACTGGCGTCTGCGATGGAGGTGTAAACATTCGCCATCCGACAGATTGTGATACCCTCCGCTCCCACTTGCGTCGTGTCGATCCCGACCTCCCAGATCTTCAGCCGTTGATCATTGCCCACGCTCGCGAGTACGAAGCCCTTCGGATTTTCACCTTGCCTGTCAGAAGTGGGCTTGCCGATGAAAACAGTACCCGTCACCGCACTTGCGTGAGCGCCGGGAATGAGTAGACTAGCAGCCTCAAATACCACCTCAGACGGGCTATGGATCCCCACACGGGTAAAAGCTACGGCGCCATCATCACCGCCCGTCACGATGAGTGTCTCTGACTCCGATATGGTCACAGAGTCCAGTGCCTTCACGCTGCTTTGGTGGACTCCACTCCGCGTACTCCAGTGCAATGGAGGACGTGTTGGCAGATCCTCACTGTGCCATGACAAAGGGTTTGCAAGCGGCCAAAAAGCCAGATGACCGTCTGTGCTGGCGGTACAAAGCCCGCTCAGGGTTTCGCCGATGTGTAGGTGGGCGGCTTGGGTGAGACAGTATGTCGTGTAAGACCCTTCAGTCAGGAGCTCGAAGCTTTCCCGGCCCGTATGATAGCGAAACAGTCGTATCGAGGAATCTGAGTACACCTTACTTAAGAGGTAATCAGGCTCGTATGGAACATCGTCCGGGTCATGAGTCGAATGGATCTCCTCTGTCGCAAAATTCATGATTCGCAAATCCACTTCCTCGGTCACGGTTGGACACTGAGCCTCGCAGACGACACCGAATGTAACGAACGGCGCTGATTGCACTCGCCACACGAAGAACTCTTCACACCCAGCTGCGCTGAAGAGAAGCTGACCATTCGAAGACCACCGCAGTTGCTGGATGCCTGTTGTGTGCTTAGTGACGATGCTCAAGCACTTGAGTCTCGCATTGAGATCGAAGATACGAATGGCCGTATCCTCTGCGCCTGTCGCAACGAACCGAAGATCAACATCGTCGCCCGTTTTGATTGCCGGTGATAGAGCCATAGCTTTGATCTCTCTTCCATGTCCTCCATGCTGGATGACTTGATGAGAAGCTTGCGTCTGCGAAAGTACATGACAAATCGAAGCTTTTGTGTACACAAAATTACCACCACCACTACCGTCATTTCGGTGTGCATACGCGTAATTTCTGTGAGCGCCTCCACAATCCACCGTCATGACCTCCGTTTTCTGTGACTCATTCCACACGATAAATTGCTTGCTCCGAAACCCCCAAAGCAGAAGATCCTTACTCGTCGGATCGACGCACGCTCCCTCAATATTTGGGCCGAATGGGGGCATACCTACGTGTATGGTCTGGAGGGTCACACAGAGCTTGCTATCTTGGAGTTTGTGAAAGACGTGATGGATTGCCCATTTGCCGTCTCGACCAGCGGTTATGATAGCGATTCTGCCGGTCAGCTTTGAGACGTCGCGGGGCACAATTTGGATTAGAGTGATGGCGTCTTCGCCATGGATTCTTTGGAAGCAGTCGGGGGTGACATCAACTGCCGAATTCGGTGTGGTGTGTGTCAGGTCGTATATCGCTATATCTCCGTTGCGGGAGCCTAGGATGATCCATTTTTCAGTTTCGAGGAAGCAAGAACTTGTTACTATGAACTTTGGTTGCAGGGTAAGACAGTATTCGTGGATTGCTGGAACGCCTGCCTCTTCTTTCGTTAACTGGCCATCAGGATGCAGTTCTGGCGAGAACATGAACACAGTTGCCTGAGAAGAGCCAAGGCATGTGGCAAGCACCCCTGTAATCTCTCTTTGGTGGCTCAGTCGCAACCACCTCTTCCACGGCTCGTGAAGACTATGGGCCTTGAGAAAGCCCGCTTTGCCGGTGAGCTTGCCAATGGCATCAATCTCTCTGCTGCGATGATTGTACAAATTAATTGTGCCGTCGGTGCCTGTCAGCAGGGCTATCCCAAGAGAGGGGATAGCCGTTGCAATGCAAGACGAAGTTAAACTCGTGTGGTAACCAACGTGCTCCCAAATCACATTCCGACAACCATCCAGGTTGCTTGCTTCTGCATTAGAGATAAAGGTGCCGACCAGAAGGTTTCCATGCTCAGTGGTAGTCAGGACCTCATTTTCTTTGATCCACGTGTAGGTCTTGAAAGCGTCTGGCTTCTTTTGTCTACTTTGGTTGCCTAGGGCATTCTTACTCATGGATGGCGAAATCCCATATTCAGGCTCTTCAGGTTCCAAACTCTCTGCTTGATCGCGCGTATACGTAGCCTTAGCCATATAGTCCTTCTTAGGCCCATCAACATCGAATACCGCATGCCACTGTATAATCTTCGAATCTCTGAAATGAAAAGAGTAATCAGCGTTGTAGTTGTCCTCAACACAAAGATGATATCCGCTTGCGGACCAAACTTCAGGGCTCGGATCGACACCGAGATCCGTTTCTCGAAAGTCCAGCTTATGGAAGAGGTAGTCTACAGCGCTACCATCATCCAATTTCACAAACCACACACTGATCGCATCGGTCATCCTGCTATACCGATACACATACTGACGAGTTGCCCTCATCGTCAGGCCTTGCTGAGTAATGAAATCCCCACTCTCGGAATATAGATACTCAGCATCGAAAATACTGTCTGTAGGCGGTCTCTCGGCGAAATTGGCTCTACCATCCAGTTTTCCAGAAGGATAGGCTGACATAAGACTGTCAAGATTTCGTGTGAGCTTCCAAGAGCCTTTGAGAGAGTCAAAAATGTTTTCTGTTGAGGATTTTGCTTTGCCTGCTTGTGTTGGACTCGGTTTACTCGATGTGGTCTGGAAGGTCTTCGAAACCTCATCCATCGTATACTGGCTCGTCCAAGCACCCGTCCGCGTAGGCATTCCATGCAGAAGGGGCTTGTACGCTGTGATACGTCCGTCAGCTCCGCCAGTAGCAACAATACACTCCGTACCAGATTTTCGGAAGACTGCCATTGCCCATACGTTTTTTCCAGAGTGAAATGAGTATGTAGTCTGATGGCTCAATCGATAAACATGATTGTGAGGCGTCCAAATTGATCGGCCAATATCAAGAACAGGACTCACACGCCAGATTTGTGCGGTGCTGTCTTCTCCGTAGGAGATCAAGTCCCAACATCCGTCTTTCTGGATCAGGAAACGCAAGCCCCAGATCCGGGAAGCGTGGCCCATTATCATAGCCAGGCATCCACTCGAGTTAACTTCATTGGTTTCATCTAGGAAGCCAGCTTCGGAGTTGTTGAGTTCTCCATCTGACAACCGTTCCACCTTTTCACTGCTGCTTGTGTCCGATATGTCCCATGTCCTGATGGTCCTATCATCGCTGCAGCTGGCCAAGATACGTTTCACAGCACCAGTCTGCGCCACCTCTGATATCCTGACTCCAAAGACCGACCCCTCATGTCCAGTAAATCTATAGTGCAACTTGACCTCCGGAGATACAGAAGGATCAGAAGTAAACGACCATAGCAAGACCTCTCCGAATACCGTACCCGCAGCGACGAGAAGGCGTGGGCCAGCATCCGCCCAAAGCATGTGCGCGGAGTACAGAATCGAACTGGGTCCTGAAGCGATACGGTAGAGGGAGCGGGTTTCTCTCGTTTCTGCGGATTCTTCAACGAATTTTAGACATAGTAAATCATTGTGTGCGGTCACGAGGATGGCTTCGACAGTGTTCTTTCCAGATCCGCTGTCGGTAACATTGGGGTGTCGGAAGCAGGCATCGAGGATCCAATCATCCCAGAGGACTTCCGGCATGTGTTGATGAGTTTTGACCAAGGGTTTCCCGTTTATATTAAGATCTGCTTCGATGGAGATAAGACAGATGGATCGGCCACCCCAGATGAGGCAGGTTCCATTATTTCCGGCATCTTCCGGCAAGGATTTGCAGACAATGCCATGAATTGCCTGCGAGTTGAATATCTGCTCCGTACGAATCAACGTTCCTCTTTTGTAGTCGAAGACTTTGAGAAATTGGCCCTCGCCCGCAAGTAGATAGGGTTTGGAGGTACCGAGTGCTAGAAAAGCCAATGCAGTGACGGGATTGAGGGCGCTCTCGACCTTTGGCACGATAACTTCATCCATAAATGCCACATTGAGTTGAACAAGCGGAAATGAAGAGGTCCGCCATTCTCTGGCTGCATTGTGGTGTGAAGGAGAGGTTGAGGGGTGAGACGCAAGCCGAGTTGAGGCTGGGCGGGATCAGCGGTGCAATTCCGGCGCACAAAATCCACATGGCATGGTGACTGAACAGTGAAAGCCCGGCCAGAAAAAAGCATATGGACCTCCCTAATGTGAGGATATATAAGCAAAAAAATTAAATTGACCGATGCAAGGCTCGACTGCAATTTTGTAAGACAAGGCCCACAAAATGGAATTTGGGGTTAGAACTGACACTTGCGACCTTCTCCGACTCACGTGGGTAGTGTAAAGGAGACATAATAACCACTATACTAATCGGCCGGGTTTTTGCCACAACGCAAGCAAAGTTTTACTATTTTAACCTATATAGTTTATGTTTTTCCGGCGACAGACACGTTTCTAAAGTATTCTTTATGGGCTACAACAGCACTTGCAGGATTTTGATTTGTTTTGCTAATCATTGATGATGCCGCTAATTCGTAGACCACAAGCTAAATGCGACAAGGCGGAGTGGGGTATCTATGCTAGAATGAATGAACACGCTGGTCGAAAGCTCGAAGCAATATATGCCCGTCCACAGCAAAGCATGAGTCTGTATGTCACATCTTCTCCGAGCGCTATGCTATGAAGCTACAAGTTCCATCTCATGATATCGATCTTCTTCGGCTGAACACCACTACTTGCAGCTTTGTATACTTTCTCGGCATCTGCTGGCTCCGCCCGGTTGGCTTTGGCAAAGCTGTTGCCGTTACCCTGCCGGATCGAAGTGTAAGCTCTGACGAAGCTTCTATATGGTGAACCCTCGTCGTCCCACCATTTAGACGCCGTACCTTCGTCTTGCTTTTCCACCGCCGCATTAGTATGAGGTGGAGAAAAGGGACTCGTGGTGCTCATACTCGAGGTTTCAACAACGCCTCTCACCACCTCGAGATCTGACCTCAATATCTTCCGATCTTGACTCGGGTGATCGGCGCCTCGCCAAGCGTTATCCCGAACGCGAGTATCTATGGCATCCTTTATTCGATTACGCGCCTCACGAACATTGACTTTGCTCGCAATTTCGGCCAGCAGCTCGATCATGGTCTCTGAAAATACCTGCCCACGAAAGCATTCCAGCTCTAGCAACTCATAGGCCCTGATCCCCCAATTGGACTGAATCACTCTGTGGCAGGTGTTTAGCAAACCTTGGTTCTGCTTCACGTCCTTGGGGGTCGGCTTTGCCGAGAGTGGTAAGCGGGCGTTGCTGAATCCTCCGACGTGGACCTCTCGCAGCTTTGAAGCAGGGAGTCGTTCCGGAGAGTTGGTTGTGGTTGCGTTCGGTGAGCTCTGATGGACATCATGATCAGACTCTTTCCAAAGTAGAGATCGCCGATTGCTCTTGGTAGTGCTTTGGGTCGAGGTCGTGGCGGGTACAAGCGGTGATCGAATTGATTGTGGAAGTGGAGGCTTATACGAGCCTCGCGTTGTAGGAGGAGTATAGGGCACCTGTTGTAGGCTGCCGGAGCTATCTCGACGATACTGCAACGGTCGTGGCGCACCAGACACACCGTTGACTAGATGTGGAACACTCGAATGGGGCAGTATTTCTCCTTGCTTTGTCCTCTTGGCCTGCTCGTCTGGCGGATCGTCCGCTGTGAGATCAATAATGACCCGCGATTCGGACGACTTCCGCTGAGTTTCATCAGAGCTCGCCGGCTTCGGTGCGGATTTGGTTCCTACCAGCTCCAGTGGCCCATCATCGTTGGCAGGTGCATATTCATAATGCATCTTCTCAATAGCGGGGTCTGTCTTGGAAGTGAAAATATGCTCCACCAGCTCAACGCGAAGCTCATCTTCCTTCATAGGCTCGACGTGCACCCTATCAGCACTAGGCTTCCGTGCGACGATAGCGAGTGCTTCATCTAGGCTTCGTCGATTGATGACACGGTTTTGATACTGAGGCGCCTCAATTTCAGTTTGGTAGAATTCTTCGTAAGGTACGGCATCCTCTGCTTCTTCGGCACATCGTCGAAGGTACTGGGGATATTCGAGCTTGTGTCTGACGATGAAGTCATCCCACAGAGATTGATGCTCCATTCGATTGGCTTTTACGAGCTGGCTGATTTTTCTGCATATAGCCGCGAAATGATTGATGTCTCCAGGGTAGGAGGGATACGTTGCTTTGAAAATATCGAAAATGTTATGAGGTGCGGAATATTCCTGCTTAGTGATTTGAATCGGCAGCTGTATTGCGCTCTGGTGCTCTTCGACTGATTTCACTTCGAGATCTGACATAGGGGTGCTTAGTGGGAGAACAGGTTCAACGGCCGCAGGAGAAAGATGTGGTTGAATATCTCTATCAGACTCAGCGGCGAAGACCGGGACGGCAATAGATAGAGACGTGGTTTGTTTCATAGGCTCGTCCGTGTGAGCAATAAATTTCAAGGGCGTGATGTCATGATTGACCGAGACGTGATGCATCGGACTGTTTGTGTCTACTTCTTTAAACCGTTGATGCGATGCGCGCTCCGTTGCAATCTCATCAGGCATTGGTATGCCTGCGTCCACTGTGACTGGTTGCTGTTGAGATGTAGGCTCCGGTATAGTTTTTCCAGACACCTGAGTGTCTGCATTGTCTCTGAACGATGTTTGTTGATATAGGGATTCTAGCGTGACGGTGTCGTGCTCAGCGACTTGATCTAATCTTACTTCTGGTGTCGGCGCATTGCTCCCCTGCTCGGCGATTTCGTCTGCCCGAGGATGTAAATCTTTGAGGGCTGTGTCTGATTTTGAGTCCACCGGCCGAGCGTCCTCATCAGTGTTCACCAGTTGACCATGGCTCGCAACCGTCAGGTCAATCTCTGACTCGACATTCTGATCTGCGCCATCATTTGCGTTCGCAAGGTCATTCTCGGTCTTCTGGTCTGGTGACTGAAAGGATACATCAAGCTCGACAGACTGAGCTCGCTGCGCTTCATCAGTAGAGACGTAGAAGCTTGCCTCCATCACCAGGCTCTGCTCTGCGTCAGGACCTTCGACGTCTGTATTCTGCGCAACGGACATGAGAGAGTCTGCTTCGGGATCAAAGGATGGATTCTCTTGCGCACCAGGCTTTGTACCACCGCCGTCTGGTTCCATAGAAGTGGTACCATTCGGAAGCGGTGCAGCATCCTTCATTTCTTGCATTGGAGATCTTGCCGACAATTCTTCGAACTCGATCTTCTTCTGGCGCTCAATCTCAGTATCAATCGACTGGTTTTGTACAGTCACATTCCCAACGTTCTTTTCCACTTCTGCATTGCGCCGGTCAGCCCGGATCGACCCCGTGAGTGCGGTGAGGTTTATATTTGGACTCTTTGTGGAAGTACTGGTCTCGCTACTTCTTCTGGAAGCCAAGAATTCCGGACGGACTGGCCGGGACCGCTCTAGTGGATCTTCTGACGTGGGCCCCGGAAAAGTGATGAAAGACACTGTGGGGCTCATCGTAGGAGTGCTGCTCTCGCTACTTCTCCTGGAAGCCAAGAAGTCCTGACGGTATTGCCGAGCTCCTTCTGATGGATCTCGCGGAACCTCTGACCTTTCAATGAAGTTAAAGGCCGACGGGACCTTGAACCTTTTCAGTCGCTTGGCCACATTTGGGGATACAAAGCTCGAATCTGCAACTTTGCGCTTCATCTCAGGAGCGACGTGGGTGGCATGGTCAGACGTAGGGAGCTGAGGTGGAGGGTCTATGTGATTGTCCTCGGGTGTCGGCGACTTCTCTGGTACTGTTTGAACTTCTGCATTGGCTTCGGAGACCACGGATGGGTGATTCCACCTCGAACTCTGGCTCTGGCTCTTGGTCATGATTAAGGATGCGTCATCTGGCTTATCTGCCGCTGTCTCTGCCTTCCTCCTTTCTTGTTGGACTTCAGCGATCATTTCATTGGATTCCTCGAGAATGCCATTGGTCATTTCTTGGCTGTTGTTTTCTTCCGCGAGCCTCGCAGCAACCTTTGCAATACTTTGGTCCTCGACGTTGTTAGAGCTTCCATTTTCACCATGAGCCTCAGCGGTGGAAGTCTCGGGGCCAGAAGTGACTGATGCCGACACAAATTCAGTATCGTCATTGATAGTGCCATTCATAAGAGGATTAAAGTTCGCCTTTAACGGCGAAGATAGAATTCTGGAACCCGGTAGTGATTCATTGTGCGCACGACCATTGACGTAAGGGGTACGTTTGACTTGCGTAAATGGGTCCGGTGGCTGCGAAGCAGTGGAAGGAAAATGTTGCATCGGCGCGCTACCTGCAATGGAATGGGTCTCTTCGTTAAGAGCGAGTGGGACTGTCATCTCTAGGTCTGACTCTGGGGTCGGTGATGCTGGAAGTAAGGGCGAAAATGTTTCCTTGGCAGCATGGGTCTCAGCCGGATTTGTTGCTGCAGATTGGACCGGAGCCGGCTGCGCATCAAGCAGCAAGTCACTATTCTGTCCGAGTAAAGGTGACATCGAAGCTGAGATTTGTACACTATCCGACTCATTGTTGGCCCATTTACCAACGACTTTCTGTCCAGACCCTCCGTCACGCTCACTCCAGGATTTTAAACCAGGAAACATGGGAGTAGACTCGCCAGGCACAGTAGGAGTGGCACTCCCACTATTGCTTGGTGTGGCTGGATTGCCATCATGGTAACGCTATAACAATCAGTCTTGCTCAAAGAACCAATGATAGGACAACGGACTTCGATGTGGTATTTGAGACTACCGGGACTTGCATAAGACTTGGTGCAATCCTCCACAGGGCACCTGAAGTTTTCGAACGATCCTGTACTGGGGTGATGACGCTGGAAGTGATTAGTAGAAGCTATCTCATCGACTGAATCACTTATCACTTACATCTACATGGTATTTTAGGCCGCTAGAATTCTTGTATGACTTGTCACAACCTGGTGCTTGACACGTGAATCGATGGACCTCTTCGCCAGCTGAAGTGGATGTAACGCTAGGTGATGAAAGACCAGGAGACACCATGCTAGGAGATCCTGCTCCTCTAGAAAAACGCTCTGCTGATATCGAAGCTGGTCGCCCCAATGGCATTGAATAAGATGAACTTGATGCGTGAGACTGCCTTCGTGAAGACGAGATCGAGCGAGGATTACTTGATGTCTTTTGGACTGAGTGATCAGAATATTCGGCACTTGCGAAACTGCTGTCCGGTGGTAGCTGATCACGCTCAGGCGATAGGGGCCATTGTCCTGAGGATACAGGTATATCTGATTCCGAGTCGGCTGTTTGGTCAATTACCGCACTTGGGGTCATTGAACCGTTTTCTTGATTCCGTATCTTTGTTGGCCGTTGAGCACGGAGGTCCGCTTTCCGATTCAGCTTCTTGAGTAAAGAGATTGGTATGTTTGCTGTGGGCTCGCGCTGACCAGGCTCTGCTGGCAGCCAAGCTAAACGATTGGTCAGATTTACTGTATGAGAATCAAGATTACCTGGAATCACTTACAGTCCGCACGGTTCAACAAAGCCTCTTGGTCTTTGAGAATTTTCACGTCTCTGCTCCTAATTCGATTTTGACCGGTGTTTTGACCGGAGACCGAGGTTGTAAGTTTTGAAATGGAACGATCTGAGAGGTCCAATGGGGCGTTAGGGTACGAATCTGCAGTTTTTGATATCGAGGAGCTGGCTGACCGACTATGGAGTGCGTTGATGGAGGCTTCGGTTACAGCTGCCCTAGATCCCGCCTTCGTGTCCAGGTCACAATCTACACCCAAGCTCCCACAGTCTTGGTCGATCCCATGTACTCTATGACTGTCGGCTGCTTTCTTTCTTGGGGTCTTGTCCGGGGACTGTCTTTTTCTTTTCTGGCTTTCAATGGGAGCTCTGGTAACATCATCATCGCCGGGAGCGAGAGTGGTATCTCGAGAAGCTGTGTTCTCTTCCTCAACGACAGCGGGTCCGATTGAGGCCGCAGTGTACCCTAGGGAATACACAGTTGTTGGCTGCGGGATAACCTCTGGTACCGGTAGAGTACGCTTATGATGTTGGAGTAGGCCTAAGAGAGCTTTGGTGCTATTAACACTTGGTCTCTGAGGGGTTGCCTGCACTTGACGGGGACTCAAAGAAGTCGCTAAAAAACTCCCGTATTTTCTCTTTGTTGGTGGAGGTAATGACTTGACACTGTTTGCACTGGAGATAGAGCCTATGTTGATACCGGTAGTTGGATCTGATGGCTTGGGCTTGCTAACAACAGACGCGTTAGAGCGAGGTGCCTGAGTTGCAAAGCCTATCTGGCTACCCTGATTCTCCCCTGCGTCGGAGGTCTGTGTGCAGGGCTGAGACCTGATTGGTGACGCAGCGGCTGACTGGTGGGAGTGTGCGTCCGGTCCGTGTCTTCGCAAGTCTGCTAGCTTGTTCAAAAGCTCCTTTGTCCCCTCCCTGCTCTCAATAGCCTGAGGGGCGACCCCAAAGTTACCAGATCCGTCCGAGCCAATGCTCTTGAATTCTTTGACATAGAGCGTAAGCCTTTTATCTCTTGGACCAAGATGTGTTGCGACAATCTCGAAGTCGTGCAGTTGTATGAGGCCTCCAACGGTTCCCTCTGTAAGATTTCTTTTGTTCTTCTTAGCGTATCTCTGAGACGCCTGATTGGTGATGGAAGCATTGACACGTATAACGCTGTCAGAAAGTGTGACTTGTATAGGCTCGTCGAAGGTCAAGAACTACACTCGCAGGGTTAGTAAGATATAGCAATAACGGGTGTTTGCCAACCTTAGTGATCTGAACAACGGGTCCCTTTTTTGTAGATGTTATCCTCAGATTACTGCCATCATCATACGATAGCCCTCGGGGCTGCCCAATCGATGGATGTTTGTTTGCGCCTTCCTCCTTATGACGTAACGCCTCACCCAGCTCTCCCTCTATAGTGGCCGCCAGCCATGGCTCTAGAACGTCCATACTCCTTTCCGTGCCACCATACGTGGTTTATACAGTGGTTCGCAAGTCAGTGGCATGGTCTAGCAAGCAGCGGAGTCGACGAGACTCCTTCAGCTGTGGTGACCCAGTCTTGAAAGCCGTAGATATGATGAGGAAAGCTTCAGTTCAGTTGGGGTTGCTGAGGTGGCACCTAAGCGGCCTGGTGGTCTCTGTAGAACGCGACCGAGGTGTGTAGAGAACGTGTAGAGGTACCGGTGAGGCGATCTGAGTACAAGAATACTTTATTTTAGGCGAGCGGTTGAGATTCCGCTGCGTGCCAAGCCCTTTGATAGCGGAACAACGAAAAAGGAAGTAACATTTAACGTCTTCTCCCTCACAAATACCGAGAGAAAGCCAAAAGAGGAACTTCATGACTCTCAGTCGACGGATGGTGGCTTACTTCCTGGATAGCGGAGATGAAGTGCAGGATCATTCCAGTAGAGGAGCGTACACATCAACTCGTCTAAGCGCTGCGGGGGTGCTACTTCAAACGGCAGCTTTCCATGGAAAGTGTAACTAAGGGATGAGCATGTGTGCTTGTCATTTGTCGGACATCCTTTCCAATGCTCCAGCGCACCGCAGTACCATGAGACGCTCTAGGGTATCTACGAAACATGGGTTCCAAGTCTATACGAGACGCCAATAGTCCATCTGCCTCATCATTTCTCCTTCCTCAACTTCGCCATTCGCGGCGTGGATCTCTAACCTCTCTCTCTAGTGCTAACCAACTCGACAAGGGAGCTCTCTCCCAGGCTCTTGACCAGATTCATAGCACCGCGAGTCAGACCGAGACTCTCACAACCTTCAACGAATACACGTCGCCCCCAGCCTCATCCTCTGGACCAGATACCAAAGGCATTGCAAGCGAGCTCCAGGGAGGCTTGAGTGGGCTCTACAGCAGATTCAGGGCGTCGGTTGGAAATGTGAAAGATATTGTCAACCTCGCAGCTGAAGATGTGGCGGAAGAGAACGCGTCCTTGAAGAGCCCGAGAGCGGCCACATATAGTCCGAAGCCGCTTTCTAAGCATGTGTTCGAATCTGCACGGGACCCAAGCTCCTCCAACAGTACTACCCAAACCACGTCGGCCCCAGGGTCCGGGCGACAGTCCCCATTAGGCATCGTGGACACTGAAGGAGAGCACAACGAAACAAAGCAAAGCCTCAAGCCGTTTACAAAGTCTCTGGTTAGCGCCAGTACCTCGGCAAAATCGGCAACGGGAGCTCTCGCTGCACTCAAATCATCCTCCGTACCGCCGGCGCAAGTTGCGCAGCCGATTACGATCAGTCCAGCGTTAGTGGATGTCAACATTAGTACAGTGAAAGGAGTAGGCGCCAATGCAGATTCAGTCTCTGCTGCCAGAACAGCAACTCCTACCGAACCGCAAAGATTATCACGAAACTTCCGAAGACAGAGCTATTTGGCTGAACCGCTTGCTCAGGGAAGCGTGGATGCCTCTGTGTCCAACCCTTCACAAGGCCTCATATCAAGGAATTCAAGCCAAGGTGTTCCTAAGCAACAAGGAGATGAACCAGTACCCAATGACGCCAACAGCGCTTTCAAATCTCCTGATATACCCAGGGTCCTTGGGACGCGAGCTATGTCTACGGACAGCGTGCGCCGCTTTCCTGACCTCGAAGAAGGATCCGATGAGGCGGCATTTACTATGACAGGTTCGTCATCTGACCCGAAAAACACCCACATGGGTAGACCTGCTATGGTAGTCTCGAATTATGGCAATGGGCAAGATGATATGTTCAGCGTTCCTGACAGTAACAACACTAGAGGTGCAACAGTTGACGACGCTGCTAAAACAGGAGGGGGATATCAGACCATAGGTGTGGCAATACGGAAGACCGTGGCGCCACCTCTAATCACTAGGTCTCATCCGTCTCCTCTGAGCATGTCTCGGGCCTCTTCCCATGGTACCGAAAGCTTGAACAACTCTCCACTTCCGACAAGGTCACGAAAACGCCCTGCCGGATCACATGAGACACTTCCACCTCAAAGCAAAAATTCCCAACATATAGCATCAGCGGCGACTCACCGTGATTCTAGGACTATGAATGTATTTTCTCAAGTCAAGAACAAGGTCTTAAACAAAGAGTATTGGATGAAAGACGAGAACGCGAGGGACTGCTTTTATTGTGGAGACTCATTCTCAACGTTTCGGAGAAAGCATCATTGTAGTAAGTCCAACTGTTCATGTATTGTTTGGCATTCAAGTGACACGTGCACAGGGACATGCGGTCAAATATTTGATGCAAAATGCACATCTCTTCTATCTGGAGAACACTTTGGACAAGCTGGCATGCTGCGTGTATGCAAACCCTGCGAGGGCATCATCAAAGGTGATGACGACTCCTCGGAGATATCGGATGACGGCAGTCTTTCCATACGTGGTCTGAGACCTAGACATGGCTCTACAGGAGCGGGTGATGTCCTTGCCAGTCCTGTACCTACTGCAAGCCCAACCGCTACAAAGGGTTCTCGTCGAAGTCCAAATCAACCAGATCTTACGGTTCCTATGATGTCGATTCCAGCGACTCGTAAAGCAGGCGGGGACGCTGGGAACAAACCTCTTGTCCTAGAAATTGAGGCCGAGCGAACACTATTGCGGCCTTCCTCGTCTCGGTCTCTCAAATCATCTTTTGCCGTTAAGTCATTCTCGTCGGGCCACCGACGCTTCAATTCGCGGCATCAGTTCCAACGTAGCTTTAAGCCGGTCAATGAGGACAACGCTCCGTTTCACCAGAGTCCCGTGAGCGACAAAACAATCGCTGGCCGATTGCCTGCTTTTCACGATGATAATATCATCGATCCCGATCTGGCTCCATATCTGTCTGACGAAGGGTCGAGTGGTGATGAACAGGTGGGCATTATGGCTGCCTTGAATGGTGATGGGCTGTCTCGAAGTCATGACAACGAGAGGCATGCATTTTCTGGACTGCTTGCTTCCTCCAGGAAGGCACGATCAAGGGCTGGAGACAAGAGCATCAGTGGCGTCACCTTTGCTAGTAGGGATGCAGACACCCATAGCCTGAACAGCTCAAAAACAGCAAATATCTCTCGGTCCAAAAGAAGAAACCATAGCGTCGCAGGCAATCCGCATCTGCGGCCTTCGCCGAGAGGCCATCGAGGCAGCGCAGCAATAACGAATTTTGGCTTGAATATGCATGAAAGCCCCAGCACCTCTAATCTCGCACAAGTAGCCTCGTCCGCAGAGTCTGTAGTAGCATCTCGAATGATACGGAGCTCGTCAATGAGAGGTGCTGCTGCACCTGCCATCGAGTTGAACAATGCAAGTCTCCGTCATGTTCGGAAATTGCTGCATCAACTGCTACAAGATTCTAATGTGCCGAATGTCGCCAGTTGGGAAAAGGCACTTGTGCCTATCCTACTGAGAGCCACGGATGACGTCAACCCAGATGTGCAAAATGGCGACGATATTGACATCCGACACTACGTGAAGCTGAAGAAGATACCTGGAGGACGACCTGGCGACACTGCTTATGTCTCAGGACTAGTTTTCACCAAAAACCTCGCCTTGAAATGTATGCCCAGGAGCATGTCCCATCCTAATATTTTGATTTTAACGTTTGCCCTCGAGTACGCCCGTCATCAACAGCATTTCATGAGCCTCGAACCAGTCATAAGACAAGAACGAGAATTTTTGCAGAACCTTGTAAATCGCATAGCTGCTTTGCGACCGCAGCTCCTACTGGTAGAACGCAACGTCTCAGGCCTCGCGCTGGAATTTCTAGAGCAGGCAAATATAGCTACAGCTTACAACGTCAAGGCGTCTGTGCTGGAGGCTGTGTCTCGATGTTGCCAGACTAGGATCATATCATCGATTGACAAGCTTGCAATCAAGCCTGCGCAAGCCGGGAAATGTGCAAGTTTCTATCTCAAAACATATGTCAATGAAGGCAGAAAGAAGACCTACATGTTTCTCTCTGGTTGTGCGAAGGAGCTTGGTTGCACGATAGTGCTTCGAGGGGACAACGATGCAACGTTAGCTAAGATGAAGCGAATCACCGAATTCATGATATACGTCGTCTACAACTTGAAATTAGAAACCTGTCTCATGAGAGACGAATTTGCATCAATCCCGGCAAACACGGAAATCGGATCTACGCCTCCAAGCAAAGACAGCCTACCCAAAGCCTTTCGACATCTTCTCTCCGACAATCCGAACGGTGAGAACAGCCGTATCGGAACCTCTTGGCAGAGACGAAAGGAAAGCAAAAGCGATACTACTGCAGATGTTTCCAATGCTGACATTCTCAACACCCAAGGTCCAGAAGGACAGCAAGCAGAGAAACCAAAGATCAGTCTTCCCGACGACGATTCTGTTCCGGAAGATGTTCCGATGCCCACTTTCTATGGCGACATGGTCGAAGAACACCAAACCAAGATACTTTCCGCTTCTCCTTTCGTCAAATTCATGCAGCCGTACCTCTTGATGCGTGCCCGAGAGCAAGAACGTCGACTCGCGTATCTAAAGCGTTTGAGAGACCAAGACATCTTAGAAGAACAGAATGTCGATGAAAAGGCAAAACGCGAGAAATTCGATCTCATCAAGCCGGAGATGGTCCACGAAAGGATTCGCACAGCATCTAAGAAAGTACGCGAAGTACTACATGCTGTACATGATGCCGAGTATGACAAGGCTCTCCACAATTACCAGACTCAAAGCAAGCAGTGGGAAGCTTACATCGCAGGCAACATCAACTTATTCGATCCTTACGCACACCAGAATATTGCTGTTCTGTATAGCGTTGTCTGTACAGTCACAACTGTACCATGCTCTGGCCCTGATCTGCTGGCTTTAGGGTTTTACAACGAACATGAAACCGATGCCGATTTTGAAGCAGACTGTACTCTTGGTCAGTACGTGGAAGACTTGTGTCTTGGAGCCAATACTATCTGTACCGCAAATGGCTGCGAAAGGAAAATGTTCGAGCATCATCGACAATATGTCCACGGAGAAGCTCAGCTCAGTGTTTTTGTTGAACGATATCCCTGCAAGCTTCGAGGATTGCAAGATACTATCTTGATGTGGAGTCTTTGTCGGATATGTGGTAAAGAAACGCAAGTGATGCCAATGTCCGATAGCACTTGGAAGTATTCCTTTGGAAAATATCTGGAACTCTCATTTTGGAGCAGCGAGCTGCACGCTCGAGCTGATGTCTGTCCTCATGATCTTCATCGGGATCATCTTAGATACTTCGGCTTCCAAGATGTGGCGCTTCGAGTACACTACGACCCAATCACGCTACTTGAAATCATCGTACCACGAGCCAGGATAACGTGGAAGGTTGACAACGATCTTCGATTCAAGAATGAGCTTTTCACCAAGATTGAAGAACGCCTTGGCAAATTCATGCTATCAGTCAAAGCCCGGATCAAAAGCATCAACACCGAAAGCGTTGTGCCTGAAAAATCCGAAAGCTGCAACCAAGAAGTCGAAAAACTTGCAAAACGTGCATCCGATGAGCATCATGCCCTCGTTCAGAAGCTCAGAGAGAAGTATATGAATTCGAAGCATTACGAGATCATTCCCCTAAACCGAGCAATCCGAGCCACGCAAGAAAAAGTAGCTGAGTGGGACAATGCCTTTGCAGACTTTGATCGCAATTTCTTCCCTTCTGAGAAAGATATTCGACGATTGGCGACTCTCCAACTCAAAAAGATATTCTTAGACCGTGATGAATCGGTCACATCATTGGCTTCTACAGATGACAGCGCAACTATCTCTGTGTCGGAAGAGGCGATGAATGAGAAGACTTCCATGGATGACACTCCAGCATTGCCTCCCCAAACCCGGAGAATGTCTCCAGAAAAGGCACACGATATGCTTGCTGCTGTTGTTGAGAAACATGTATTGATAAATAGCCAGCCTGACCAGTATCAAAGCGCCCCCAACACTGCTGTGCCCAAATTCGAAGCCGACTCGGCGCCTCGTTCTGTTCAACGGGGTTTGGAGAGAGATGATTTACGGCATCTGGACTTAGCAACGTCTACAGACCTCCCAGATAGGCTTGAGATTGGACAAAAATCGACTGTCGTCGACGCGAAGTTAACGGCACCACCTGAGACGGAAGACAAGGCCCCCCAACTATCGGTTGAGCCGCATCCTAGCGTAGACATCAATGAGCCCGGCCATGGGGACAGCCTCAAAGCAACCAATGTAGGAGTTTCTGAACAACCGAAGTTGTTAGACCATAGTCAGACATCTGGTATTCCGCGACCTATCGAGTCTACTCACGGCGCCATAAGATCAAACGTCTCTCCGACGCTTTCTCGCGCTCAGTCGCAGCCTGCCCATTTCCGCCATGAGCAGTCAAACAGCAGTCAGTCTTCATCGGCCATGCTTCCGTCTTTAAGCGCCGATAGTCAGTCTACCAAATCTGGCGACGTCTACGTACCACCAGCTGCAGGCGTCAGCAAACACGTCGATAAAAAGCTCTCAGATCGATTTGGCCTCAATGCTTTGAAGTCTAGTGGAGTGACTGCGCATTCCATGATTCCACGATCAATCGCCAATAGGAGGAAAGAATCAAAAGTTTCCAATCTCGCAAAACATTTTGAGCAGTTAAGCCGCGAATTTGAGAAAGAGCGTATCCGAGAGCGACGACAACGCGCCGCCAAAAGTCGACAAGCGAGAGCCTACCCTATGGCTGCTTCGAAGCCCATCGTCCAAATCTATCGTAATGTACATGAAGCTGTCGAAGAGCGAGAGCCATCAGACGAGGACCTTCCGTCTTCAGATCCATCTCATACTGAGCAGGAAGGGCCGTCGAACACTATAAATCACATGGCGGAAAGTACGGACTCGCAGACGCCGGGCGAGGGTTTCCATGCGGAAGAAACCACAGCAGAGAACACCGAACTTGAGGATAGCAACAACCTTGAAAGCCACGTCGGATCTGACGTTGAGGGCGAAGAGCCTCGAAGCGATGAAGAGCATTCCATTCTAGATGATATTCAAACTCCTGGAGCAGCTGATGAGCATCACGCATTGTCACCTGAAGAAGCTCAGCTCGACATCAAGCTCGATCTACCGAAGCATGAGAAAAGTTCGCTGATGAAGATGCTGACAAACTTCTGGGCTGAGAGATCCGCAAGTGGTTGGCAGCCCCTGGAGTACCCTCTGAACGCGACAGATCACATCTTCGCAGACTCTGACATCATTGTGCGGGAGGATGAGCCCAGCTCTTTGATCGCCTTTGCTCTAGGGTCGGAAGACTATCAAGCAAAGCTACGGAGCATAACAGAAATCACTGAGTCCCAGAACGACCAGCATGGCAAACGCCAGCCGCAAGATTCGGTCTCGAACATCGATGACCAAGTTGAAGTTGAGCGTTCCCTTTTGAGAGCTACAGGCACACATCTCAAATACCAATTTGCGGAAGGCTCAGCGAAGATGCTTTGCAAAGTGTTCTATGCGGAACAGTTTGATGCTCTCCGTAGAAAGTGTGGAGTCTCTGAGCGTATTGTGGAGTCGCTCTCACGCTGTATGAAATGGGATAGCAAAGGCGGTAAAACCAAATCTGTCTTCCTCAAGACCCTGGATGACCGCTTCGTTCTCAAGTCTCTCTCGCCGATCGAGACCCAAGCCTTCCTCCGCTTTGCACCTGCCTACTTCCGCATCATGTCTGAATCCCTTTTCCACGAGCTTCCCTCAGTCATTGCAAAGATGTTGGGATTCTACCAGATCATCATCAAAAACCCCATCACAGGCATCGAGTTCAATTGGTTCCTCCTCGTCATGGAGAACCTCTTCTACGACCGCTCACCCACACGCATCTTCGATCTCAAAGGCTCCATGCGCAACCGCCGCATCCAATCCACAGGCGAGCAAAACGAAGTCCTCCTGGACGAGAACATGGTCGAGTTCATCTACGAATCTCCCCTCTTCTCGCGCGAACACTCTAAAAAGCTCCTCCGAGCAAGCGTCTGGAACGACACCCTCTTCCTCTCCCGTCAAAACGTTATGGACTACTCACTCATGATCGCTGTCGACGAGAACCGCAAAGAGCTCGTTGTCGGCATCATTGACTGTATCCGCACCTACACCTGGGATAAAAAGTTGGAAAGTTGGATCAAGGATCGTGGCAAAAATCGGCCGACCGTCACGAGTCCGAAGGAGTATAAGAGTAGATTCAGGGAGGCGATGGGAAGATATGTGTTGCAGGCGCCGAATTGCTGGCATCAATTTAAGGCGCAGCAGGTGGATACGAGGGCGCTGAGGGCCGATGATCCCGGGGATGATAGGGAGGTCCAGGTTGTGGGGCTCTGATGAATATTTCGTGTATGAGTAGCGTTTGGCGTTGCATTTGTGATGGTTGGATGGGAAAGTGCATGAAGGACAAAAGCATCCTCCTAGGCGGTCTCGTCTGATTAGACCCTTGTTGTATTAGAAAGCGTAACGTGTAACGATCTCAAGAAGCTGTCTACTATGCTCCAATCTCATCGCTTCTGGATGTCGCGGACCTACCAAAGAAGACATATCTACTTCGTTTCCTAGACCCATTATCGTGACCTCTTAGACCTCCAAATCCACCTCCTCAACCATTCCTGCCACCGCATCTCCTTCCCCTTCCTCGCCCTCCTCCTGCATGTCCCAGCCCCTCTTCACCGCCCCCGCGATGCCAGTCAACAGTTCCTCCAGCTCCTTCTTCTTCCTCTCCTTCACCACCTCCTCTTTCCTACTTCCAAGATCCTCCCTTTCCTTCTCCAACCGCTTCAACTCTTTCTTCAACCTCCTGTCCTCTTTCGCCGCCGCCCTAACACGGGATTGTAGAGACGTGTTGGTGTTCAGGGTAGTCGTCAATTGCAGGAGACGGGAAGCGAGTTCTTTGGCGTAGAGGTCTGTTGTTTGTTTCGTGCGTTTTAGTTCGGATTGGTTGGTGGATGGGTCGTCGGAATGGGCTTGTTCGGCGAGGGCGGAGCTGGATTTGGAGAGGAGTTCGGAGCAGAGTTGGGAGAGGACGTCGACGGCGTTGATTGTGTTGACTGTGGTGTGGGGTTGGGAGGTAGACAGTGGGTCGTCTTCGGCGTCGGAGGTGGGCGAGGGAGGAGCGTAGATAGTTATAGGAATGGAGTCTTTGGGAGGTGCGCGAGCTTTGGGCGCGGTGGCAGAGGCGGCCTTTGCTTTTGGTTTGCGAGATGCCGGGACTTTTGTTGTTCTGGTGTTTCGTGAGGGAGATTGAGCGGCGTCGGCTTTGCGTGGTCGCCCTCGTCGCTTCTTTTCGGGCACGATAGGGGTTGGGACTTCTTCCTCTTCTTCAGGTGTATGCCTTCGAGCTTCTTCGTCTGGTTCACCGATGGCATGTTCGGAAATTGGTTTGGCTTTAGGTCTCCCACGTCTAGCTTTGTGCTTGTTCTTGAGTGCAGGTTCTGAGAGTTGGATTTCTGCCTCTTCTTCGGGTACATGCCCCAAACTCTCGGCGAGTGGCTTTTCAATGACCTCTTCCGGTCGTTCTTTAGCTCTAGGTCGTCCACGTCTAGCTGTGGGCTTGCTGTTTAGTTCGTTTCTTGTGGCCAATTGACCTCTTGCGGCTGCCTTGCTGGCTGTCCTATCTGGTGTAGCGAGGTCCATGGGCTTTTTCTTGGGTTTCTGCTGCCCAATCGATTTCCGCTTCTTCCTCTTCGGCTTCTGTGTCTGCGGTTCTGCTTCTTCTGCAGTAGCCTCCGGTTCCTCAGCGACATGGCCCACAGTGTCCGCTTCGGCCTCAGCAGATTCTCCCATACCCTGATTTGCCTCTGGTGCACCTTCTGCAATGCTTGTCTCTTCTCGGGCCTTAAGCTTCCTGTTAGACTTGGTTGTGCCTGCTTTGGCGCGCTTCTTTGGCTGTTGACCAACGGTCACCCGCTTCCTCTTTTTGGGCTTCTCCTTTCGAAGCTCTGCAACTTCTGAACCATCATCTTGCTCCTCATTCACATTTCCCAAAGAGCTTGCTTGGGCTTCAGCAGGTGTCTCCATATTCTGAACTGCATCGAGTGCATCTTCTGCAGATATGATCTCTTTTTGGGGCTTCGGAGCCTTTGGCGCCCGCTTGCTCTGAGCGGAGCTTGCTTTGACACGTTTATTTGGCAGCTCTTCCACAGGAAACCGCTTTCTCTTCTTGGGCTTTTGTGCGATTTCCTGTTGGGGCTTCTCTGCGCTTGGCGTGAGATTGTCAATTCCAGAATCCAATGCTCCAGTGACTTCAGGCAAGTGCGCTGGCTCGCCTCCATCCAACGACACCGCACCAGTGGCGAGTCCCCTGCGTGCTTCTTTTGCCAGAGATCCATCGAGGTCTGTCTCTTCTGCGAGGTCTGGCTTGGGTGTTTTCTTCCGAGATTGGCGAGCTGGCTTGAGCGGACTTCGTGCCTTGGCAGCTTTCGCTCGGCTCGTCGCTTGCTGTCCGATTGACTTCCTCTTCTTCCGCTTCTTGACCCCAGTACTAGGCGCAGCACTTGGGTCAGCATCTCTTGTCCCTAGTCCATCGCCTTGGACCTCTGGCGCATTCGAAAGTACAGCATCTCCCTGTTCCTTCTGGGCCTTGCTGATTTTCCTCTTCTTCGTAGTAACACCCTCTTCATCAGCCTGCGTGACACGAGACGTAGATGAATCCTCAATAATATCGGAAACAGCCCTCTTCGCTGGCCTACCGCGCTTTTTTGTGAATCCAGTGGCCGGTGTCTTCCGTGATAATTGCTGGAGCTGTGTTGTTTCTGGTTTAGGTGTCCGTCTTGAGGATCGCTGCGGAGGGAGCTCTGGCTGTGGAGTCTTACGAGACCTGCCTGATTTGATAGGTTGGAGAGGCTCAGTTGTCGCGTTCTCTTGACCTGGCAGCACGAGGTCGAAGCCAATGTTCTTGACTTGGCGAGTGCTTGTAGCGAGTCAGTATAGAAGCATGCAAGGAAAGACTATGGAATTTACCCTGCACCTCGCTGGCGCATCAATTGGCGCTCTCCTCGATCTTCTGACGCAAGTTAGTAGAAGCTGCTGGTCTTGAGAGTGGATCCACTCACTTGGGCCCATCTCTACAGCGGCGAGGTGCATTTGACTCGGCGGTGACGAACGATGTTACGATGGAGGTAGCTGCGAGGACGCGTTTGTGTTCTTCGGAGCTAGGTCTTGGCAAAGGCGGAATGGAACCCGCTTCTGCTTCTATTCTTCCTAGTCAATAAAATGTTGAGCGAGCACATATGCCAGGGTGTTGGGGGGCTTTTGCGAGGTCTGGTGGGTCGATGGAGATTCGAGAAAGGGTCCGGCACCTAGTCAAAAGCGAAAGGAAGCTAAGAATAGCGGGAGTACCTGAGGTGACGGTCAGGACTCGGAACAGTAGCGGGAGTAAAGGTCAGAATACGGATGTCAGATGAATACCTCTACAGATATTGTGTAATTATTTACAACAAAAGGTAAAAAATGGCAGCTGATCGCCCACAGCCCCAATCTACTTGCATAGTCCAACACCGCAGACGCGAAGACACTAGTACAGTTCGCCATGCCCCTAATAGTGCCAATCCTACCTCTTAGTCTGATCTCGAGAGACCATCGACGCTCACTCTCGCGACGGACTTTCGAGTCCCAACCAGATCATCCCAGCGAAACAGGTGTCATACTGAGGTATGGCCGCCGAGCAGCTTCAGAATGTGTAAATATACGAAGCATTTCAAGAGCTCCGGGGAAACAAGTCATGCCATTCCGAAGCTCTGCCCTTGGAGATGATCAAAATTATACAGAAACAGAAGAAAACAACGGGGGGATCATGGTACTAGTACCCTGATGGCTCAGGGACTGCGAAAGGGTTTCTGAGCTTTACGCAATTTGGCGAGGTGAAGGACCAGATGAGGCAATGCTGTCTTTGGAGGAGTCTGCAAGCATCATTGGTGACCTTATCAATCTTTAGTCACAAACGACAACCATCCTTGATGCGTTGGACGGATGCTCGCAACCTTGTCCACATATACGATCTCTTCAACAAATCATTCAACTTCTGCGGGACGAGTAAGACTGTTCGTCTCTTGTTCGTCTCTAGCCAAAGCAATGTGGATGTTTCAAACATAAACATACAAGTCCAAGACACTTCTTCAGACACGTATGAATACCTTCTGGAAGGAGCTGAAGGAGAGTTAAAGACGACTTTCGAAAGGCAGAGAGCCAAAGCCCGAAGATAGGATCATCGATACAATAAGTAATCGTGCACAGGGCATGTGGGCAATTTCCCCACTAGATCTACAGCTCAGATGCTGATAAGTTCTTGCCGCCAGGTTTAAATGGGGCGAGCTTCAACTGGCCACCTTCCTAGATGGGAGTTATCCATTTCGCCTTCCTGAAAACGTCGAGACGCGACTCGATCAGCTGGATGCCGAAAGTGGCTTACCTGATCTGGTCTCCCTCTACAAGGAGATATACGAAAAAGAACACTCGTGTAGCCTTCGAAGACTGCGAATACGCAAGAGATGCTAACAAGTTTGTGCCCTGCTCTCGAAGACCCCTCTATGCCCATGAACCCGCAGAAGCGGTCTCTCTCAAACCCGACGGTAGCTCGAACAGGCTTGTCCATCGTCAATACGTGCTGCGAATGTGTAGCAATTTCCTTGTCATGGACCGCTGGACTCAAGTTCGTATCGCGCACCTGTCTCTGGTAGAATTCTTGAAGGGCGAAACCCTTGGCGACATGTTCTCGGATAGCTTTACACATGCACAGGCAGCAGAGACATGTCTTTCCTGCTTCCAGCCGGACGCAAGGTTGGTGGCAAGCAAGATTTACGACGGAAAGTGGGATGCGTACTTCTTCTCTGATTACGCCGGTAAATATTGGCTAGCTCACTGTCGGTCAATATTTGAAGTTGAGAGACAACACGGCCTTCAGGGGGAGCTTTTTGCCCAATTTTTCTCTGACGCGCAGTCGAAGCCTACTTTCATTGCATAGATGGGATTTTATCGTGGCGAGGATAAAGTCTACCAGAGACGTACCGATAGTGAAACTGTAGCTTCCGCACCGCTCGGTCCGTCCTTCTCCAGGCTCGCGAAGCTCTTAAAATTCGCGTCCCAGTCTTGGCTGGAACTAAATTTACGGCGCGGCATCACGCGGTGGAGTGGAACAGTATTCTCATGGTTTCACTACTTGTTGAGAGCGGTGCCGATGTAATGCGGTCAGTCAGGACGGAGGAACGCATTTCCATCGGGCAGTGCGTCTCGGGTATGACGAATTTGCAAGTGTTCTTGCCGAGCATGGTAGCGATATTCACAAAAGGGATATCGCTGGACGGACAGCAAGCTATTCGGGTTGGGAAGCCTTGGCTTCTTCAATGCGATCAGCCGGAATGCAGAATCTAGGTGATCGCGTTCGTTTGATTAGAAGCTAGTGTCTGGCAATTGCTCAGGAGTCTCGCGTGGGTCCGTTTCCCTTTCTAGTATCATTCGATATCTTCTCGCAGCTCAAGGTTGTATAGCTCTATATTCTAATATAAGCGTTGTACGAAAGTCTTTTGTTCTTACGGAGAAGACAAATGAAGGTGGCTATTATTTGCCAAGGCGCAAGCTTTTGTCATCGCATCAGCCAATGAGAATTTCGCATCTCACGTGATTGGATTAGGTTTAGGATTATGGTGAACTGTAACCCACAACTGGACTTTTCCGTCGTCATCATCGAGATCGTTCCACCTTTTCCGTCAGAGAACATCCCATACAACTTTCACTCCATACGCCATTTCCCCGCGTCATCAAGGTATCCCATAAATCAGTAAGAAACCCAACACCATGGCCTCATTCCTCACAACATTGCTCGCCTGCCCGCTAGCATTGCTATCCATCTACGCCGGCCAGAAATCGTATCACGCAATCATGAATCTGCACAGTGACCAAGATCGCGCCGAAAAGGCCGCAGAGCATTCCAACAAAGCGGCGCGCGAGCTGTGGCGCATAAGGCTCACCCAGGCAGGCGGGGCTGCTACGGTACGTTCGTACGATCAATCCGAGGTCAATTGTTTTGCAAGTGGTACATTCATCGGTCTCCCCCAACATTCTCGCCTGAGGAAGTCTCCCATTGTTATTTTCGACTTGGGTGAAGTGTTCTCGTGGTATGCTCCTTGTTCGACGTTATCGCCATACTGCGTTACCATGCGCAAATCTGTACTTTCATGCGGGACATCTGATCTCTTGTGCAGGTACTCTTGTCGCTCGTTAGCACCCTCGCACTTGTCTTTCTGAGTGCCGCCCCAGAATTGTTGGCGTCGGTCAATGTAGCAGCTGAGATTTCTGCGTCCTTGTATATTTCTGGGTACTGGAGGGCTAAAGCTGAAGTGCCCTTTATGACCGAGTACAACGAGGCTATCAGGAGGAGTAACGACTTGAGGAGGTTGTTGATCGCTTTGAGTGCTGGGTGGGCTTTTACTGGAGCCGTGGGATATCTGGCAACTTGAATTGCTCCTATTGCGAGGAGAGTCCTGGACATGAATCAAAGATTTGAGGGTTGGTCATTATTTTGAGAGACATGACAATAAGGTCCGATTAAAAGGCTGTGCTCTTTTCACTGTAAACAATGTGCTAGAAGGTATATATAGTCATCTGAAAGGCAGATGGTCAATCCCGAAACACGTCATGTGAACGAGAAGGCGGATGACCTCCCTCTAGGTCGACAAGCCGCAACTGTCTCTGCCAATGCTGACATCTTAACGCACCAGTCTACGTCGATCTCGGCAACTGTCCATGATATAGCCGACTATACGAGGGGAACCGCCAGATTGGTTGATAGCTTAGCTTCGATTATGAGCAGCATGGTTTTCAGGTCATCTCGATCCAACACAAAAGCAAGATGAGACATGTAGAGAGAGACACCCAGATACCGGTCAGTGGTTTCTTCAAAGAGTTCCGAGTATGGCTTGAAGGGCCAGCTCACCAGACACCACGCGTCTTGAACATCATTGGCAAGTCGAGTGCTGGGAAGACTTCCCTCATATCCAGCGCCAGCGCAATTAGAGCTGCCCATTCGATGGGAAGAGACCACCTTCAAATTGCCGCCACTTACTTTTCTTGTTCTTTTAACGAAGCCGCTTCCCAGGATCCCGCCCATAGGGTTGGCTCGTTCATATCTCAGGTCTCAACTGTATGTCCGAACATGCTGGAAGGGTTGGAGGTGGGGTTTTGGAGAATAGAGGGACCTACCCTTCAAGATCTGGAACAACGACTCACGTCCCAAACTGCGCGCTCCCCATTGAAGATACTTGTCCTTATAGACGCTGTCAACGAGTGCAAGAAAATCGAGCCGATGATCGATACCTTGCTCAGACTTGCCGAGTCTGCGTCTGACATCCGTGTGCTTTTCACAAGAACTGAGGAAGATCCTCTCATAACGACATTGATTGACCTTGAGCCCCAGAAAGCAACGGCCCTTGAGATGTCAGCATTGAGTGCAGATATCGATCTCTTCATCGAAGCCAAAATTAGAGAGAAAAAGGATCTGCAACGATTGCCTCCAGAAATGAGAGAAGAGATTGACGTTACGTTAAACATGAGAGCCGATGGCATGTAAGTAAATACAAATACTCCTACACACTGTGTATTACGGATCGGATGCGACAGTGGACCGGTCGGACCATCTTTCGGATAACCACGATCTTTTCAGATGGTGTCAAGGCTCGATCACCTACCATCCCAGGACGTCAGATTTCACCCCTTCTCATTCGTCGGTTCGTACCTACCTGCTGTCAGATCAGATCAAACACGGCCCATCTTCCTTCTTCAGCATTGAAGAAAATGAGGCAAGAAAGCTACTCTTACGAAAATGCTTGACATGCATGATGTTCACGGACTTCGGCAAAGGAAACGCCCCAATTCTCGTGAACGGAAAGCGTTCAGCCGTCAGTGGCCTCTTCTGAGTTACGCTTCTAATCATTGGGTTCATGCCCATTCTCTTGACGCTTCACTGGAACCGTATGACCAAGCTTTGATTTCGAAACTCTACAGCACGTCGAATTATGAGCGAGGTGGTAACTTCGGCTTCTGGGTCCAGTGCCTCTTTTCTCTTGATCCTCAGGCAGGTATCCGGGTCGCACGAGATACACAACCGCTCTACTATGCCGGTCTAGAGCGATGGTCGGGTCGCTAATCTCCGCGAATAGGGACATGGATCTAGACACGTTAGGAGGCCGCAATGCCTCCACTGCATTGCAAGTCACTTGTTATAGAGGCCATTATGAAGTAGCGAAGGATCTACTTGACGCCGGCGCAAATCCCTATCACAGAGACCGCTATGGACGCTCCAGCCTATTCTATACGTTATGCCACGGCAACAAAGACATCGCGGAGCTTCTAAGGCAATATCTGCGTTCGAGGACCGATCCGAAGGGCGAGGCTGCGTCCATCCACGTTGAGGAAGCTTTCGCTGCTGCCCGCATGTTCATGGCAGGAGCAGCGCATTAGGCAGGAGCGGGGTTTGTGTCAGTCTTCAAATCAGACTCCCTCCCTACGCTATATCCCCGCGCCGATTCAACTGACGCTTCTACCAAATTCTTCAGCCATTTTTTATACATACCCAACGACCTTTGGACCGCGCTCACTACTCTACATTCCTGTCAGAGACTCAACAATGTTGTCGTAATGAAGTTGTATTGGATTATATGAAGTGTACTACCTTCAAGTCCCATAGTGCTGCGAAAACGGTTTGCCAAGGCACGCTAGATGGGTGTTGAATTTGAACCATGACAATTCTATACCTCTTATTTGATTGTTAATAACTCTGGAATGTCTTCGCACCGCAAAACCACCGCCTGAGCGGTTAGAAGTGCATGCGAGTCTTGACCTTCACCTACTTCCCAAACCTCCCTCTAGTTTCACGCCTCAAATATGGGGCTGTAGGATTCTTGAGCTTCGTATCATGGAGGTAGAAATTACTGCGAGAGGGAACGCACCAGCTCCTCGGTTTTGTGCCCCACAGCGACACACCTTGTGCAATACTTGCCCATTCAGCGGTCGTAGTGCGCAACACAGCAGTCGGTCTGGAAGGCTCGAATTGTTTGTGGCATGTTGTGTATAGCTCCGTGTGCTGGTGCTGAGACGGCCGGTTCAGGTATTTCGGAGATCTGCGTGTGACCCCGGCATTCTCATGATTTGGGTATGAGTACTAGTACCAAGGCATGGCTCTCTTTGCAACTATGATAGAAAGATGGAAAAACAACCTTGCATAATGCCACGATGTTCAAGTCATGGAGCTCAGTACATTCCCTTTGCAGGTCTTGTGCGTAATTTTAGTCTCAAAAACATCAGATTGGGCGATCTACTTAGGCCGAAGTCGGGGTCGCGGGATGTACTCGGCACTATCTAAGCTGCACAATAACTCGCGCGGGCATCTTGCATAGCGCAGGATTCGCAGGGCGCCTCATTGGCCGTTCGTAAGCCACTACTGCATCTTCGAAGGATGAACTAATCAAAACGACAGCGATAAAGAGAATGCGGGGCATCTACTTTCTTTGCAGTTTCCGAAGTATCTCGCTCATTAGTCACTGTCATCGAGCTTTGTGGTCATCCGATCCAATCCAACAAGATGGCTGGGTTTGAAGGTCCTTCTGTGTCATATGAAGAGACGAAAGATCGCGCGGAAGTGGAGTTGCATGATCTCAGTGAAGGAAGTCCGATTGAAGGCAAGTATATGGGAACTGATTCGGACCGCCACGACATGATAGTGCTGGGAAGGAAGCAGGTCTTACGAGTATGTAAGGCCACGGCTAGAAGCGTAGCCTTGAAGATTGAAATAGCATCGGGCGGCATTGTTGATCTTGAGCTGATGATTCCGTCCTCAGCGCAACTTCCGATTCCTATCTACCGTGGGCTTCGCAGCCGTCCTGATCTCTACCTGGGAGATTCTCTTCGCGTACGTGGTTTATCATACGGTCGCCGCCAAGTGACATTTTACTGATATGGGCGGAATGGGTAGCAACGTCCTTTTCAGCTTGACAGATGGTGGTACTGCAGGCATATTTTGGGGTTATACGGTAACAGTCATTGCGAGTATCTTCATTTACCTCAGTGTAGGAGAGATGGCCTCGATGTATGACTGTGCTCCTCGTCAGACGGAGACATCACGTTGACGTCCTTGGTTTCTAGGTCCCCTACCGCGGGAGGCCAGTATCACTGGGTCTCAGAATTCTCCCCCGCTTGGTGCCAGAAGTATATCAGCTACATCACAGGTACAATACCCTCTACGTGGCACGCGTAAAAGTCCCTCTATTTGCTGCTAAACAGCGCTGCAGGCTGGATTCTTGCAACAGGGTGGCAAGGATCTGTGGTGGGGCTTTCTTTTCTGGCGGGGACTATCGTGCGTGACTCCTCTCTCTCTGTACTGGATGACATTCAGCAGAGCAGGTGCTTTCTGCCGAAACCCTACCACTCAGCTCTGTACCTTGTGGAAGAGATACTGACTCCGAACTCCCTTCCAGATCCAAGGCCTCATTACTCTGAACAACAGCAGCTATAACCCTCAGCCATGGCATGGCACACTACTCGTCATTGCAGTGGTGTTATTTGCTATCATTTTCAATACATCTATGGCCAAGCAATTGCCAATGGTGGAAATTGTCATACTGTTCATTCACATTCTTGGCCTCTTTGCCATTGTCATCCCCCTTCTGGTCATGGCACCTTCGCGTAACAGTGGCAGGACAGCCCTGCTGGACTTCTACAACGGTGGAAACTGGTCAACTGTCGGTCTTGCAACGATGATTGGCTTACTCACTCCTCTGGGCTCTATGCTTGGCTTTGACTGCGCTGTACATATGTGTAGGATCCTACATCCTGGGCTGCGTGGGAGAGTAAGACAGCTAATCAACAACAGCCGAAGAAATCAGAGACGCTTCCGACACCCTCCCAAGATCTATTTTCTGGGGTGTAGTCCTCAATGTCATCCTTGGGTACCTCGCTGTCTTCACGCTCTGCTTCACAATTACCGATCCCTCGGCCATACTTAATACTGCCACCAAGTATCCTTTTATTCAGCTGTTCTACAACATTACCAACAGCTACGTCGGCACCAACATCATGGTCGCCATTATAATCATCGCATTAGTATGTGCTGTGATTGCAGAAATTGCCACAGCATCTCGGCAGATCTGGTCCTTTGCCCGCGATGGAGGTTTGCCATTTTCGCCCTTCCTATCAAAGGTGCGTATGCTTCGAAGCACTTTTCCTTCTTTATTCAATCTCTTCTTATTTTCACCATCACCACCATCTCGACACCCTCAAGTTAGCCCCGCAATACCTTGTCGAAAGCACCAATATCTAACCCTCCTCGCCAAACCCCCACAGGTCTCCCCGAGCTTTCCCATCCCCCTAAACGCAGTCATAGTTTCCTTCCTCTGCGGCATCGTCATCAGCCTAATCAACCTCGGCTCCGCCGTCGCTCTCAACGCCATCATCTCCCTCACCATCTCCGCCCTCTTAGCCTCCTACATCCTATCCATCGGCTGCATCCTCTCCAAGCGTCTGCGCCGCGAACCGCTGCCATCGGCGCGCTGGTCGCTAGGCCGTGCGGGGATGGCAGTCAATATCATCGCGCTGGTGTTCTTAGTGGCTTTCTTTGTGTTTTGTTTCTTCCCGACGGCTACGCCGGTGCAGCCGGATACGATGAATTGGAATATTGTCATGTTTGGGGGAATCTTTGTTTGGGCTACGGTCTTTTATGTGGCAAAGGGGAGGAAAGTATATATTCCGCCCGTAAGGATTGTGAAGCGGGATGTCTAGGAGGGTTGAGAGGGAGCTGTGAGTCATCAAGAAGACGACAGTAGTATACACTAAAAGGATGTTAGTATTAGAAAAATTATTGGGTGCATGACCTTTATCCTTCTTTATCGCCGTCAGTGTCAAAGGCCAAGCTCCTTGCTCAAATTTAACCGCGTGAGAGAATCCGTGAGGCTCCCATTCAGAATGATGGCACTGAAGGATTGAGGCACTAATGGTTCTGGCCCAGCCGCCTTTGCAATACATATTCACGGAGAGGGAAAGTTCCAAGTCCAGGCCGCGCGCGGGGCAAGATATACCAAGTTCCGGGTCCGAATACCCTTATAGCGGCTCTAGGATACGCCGCAAACAGCCTGTTATAGATGATTCCGGCCAAAGTCAGCTCACGCACTCCGGGCAGGCGCATCTGGTCTTCCTCATGACTACCTTCGAGAACGCGTATTAACCGGCGGCGTACCTGTTCGAGTTGATAAGGACCTTGGAAGTCCACGCCCAGAACCTGTATTCTCGCAGCCCGTTCGAAGACACTCCCGACCGCCAACTTGGAGGAAGGGTAGCTACCGAGACCGGAGTTGGGCGCCTTCGCTACGGCGAAGGCTTTCGGAAACGTGGCCCAGACTCGAGTCACGTGAGGATGATGAGTAGAGGTATTCAGGTATAAAGAGGGTCGACAGTAAAGGAAAGAAAAGGGCTCACAAATTGAGCTTAGTGATGCTGAAGTCATTGCACAGACCTTGAAAAAGATTGCAACAGTCCAAGACAGCGATGTGCCTGCAACATTCATAGCCACTCCTTCAGTTCCAAAGAAACGAGCCTCGAAGGCTGAAATTCGACCAAGCGCCCTAAGAAACACGTCACACGCGTCGTTGGGGCCGGAACGCCAAAAGTCTTTACCAATACCAGGACGTAAAGCCCATCTTGAACAGGATCATCAACTCGCTCAACTAGATCAGGATGGACAGAGCAGAACGACGGAACGAGGATCAAAATCAATGGATGAGAGGCCGTTGCTGGACAAAGTTTCAGAAGAGCCTGACGTGATGTTTGATGACAACGATATCCCTCATCACCAGCGTGTCGACTGTTCTCCCGAAAGTCCTGTTCTTCCACGTCCGCACCAAAGACATTCTCGCCCGTTGCCGCCTGATCCTGTCAATCACTCCCGTGAAGCTTCGCCTCGACCTCAGTCCCGCAATTTAACCCTCAAGGGTCCTCGGAGTAGACTAATAAACGGACCGATCATCATGGAGCATGGTGGTTAAATCTCAGCATCTCAAGGCGAGGTTTCCGACCATGCTGCGTAAGACGAAGGGTACGACGAGGTCGAAAATACTCGCCAGATTAGCCGGAATCCTACTGTTCATGAGGAGGTGAGTTGATCGATGAGGATTCGGGGTAGGCGTAACCAAGATCCCAGCGTCGGCCACTTTGGAGCTCAAGCACCCTCACGGAGAATCGAGGCTTGAGTCCACATATTTATATTATTGACAGTGTTATTCAGAAAGTCATCGTCCATTCGCATGACTAAGTCCACGAACATGAATGCAGAATAAGCAACACTTTCCATCTTGGCTGAGTACCGGACAAATACCACTGCTGCATGGACAACCTCGGATGCATCCTTGTAGTGCAAGTGCTAGATGATGATGGTAGGACCGAAGGTGGGGTTCCCACCCGCAGCATTAACGATGTAGGCGCTTTTCGGTGGGATTGAGCTCTGCCGTCCTAAATGTCTACGTCCACAACAGAGCTAAGGATCCATGCGGAACAATCTCTACGCGCACGCTTTGCGCCTCCACCCCAGGAACATAGGTACGGATTTGACTGCGGCGGAGTGCGCAAACGGCCGTGGAAATCGCCGGTGTTTGCCTTGAAGGCACGAGGCATCGAGCATCGCATGCAGGGCTGATTCCGTTGCAGCGCACATATGCAAGCCATTCCCTTACTGGGCGTACCTTTGGATATGCGAGGTGATAGGGAGTCTGTGAGTCAATTGGTATGGAAGACGCATTATTGCAACGATTATAAGCAAGGGTTACTCGGTGAACCGTTGAAGGGCCCTGGGCTTTGGGTCAACGCCCATCCACCAGCTGTCTGAGATTCCTTGAACACTACTCAATCTCTGCGGTGTTCGACTCTGCGGTGCTTGATCTTCATTTTAAGAAAAGCTGCGATCTAGTTGACAGTCAAACAGTCTGCACGACTCGATCTCTTGTTCGTACGGATCTCCCACGATATCCACAGTGTTAAGGCTGAACCCTTTACAACAGTAAGGTATCCCATGCCCTAATGGTCTCGCGGGAAGACCATGGACCCGGTCACCCTTGACCACGTAGCCTTAAGCTTCAGCGAGATTCACGCTTGGGCCTGCGACTTCTTTTACATTGAACTATAATTACCTGCTCATGCCCAAAACAGGTCAGTAACATCCGATTCGATGCCTGGTGATTTTTATCCTCGTCGCGTCGTTAGAGGGTAGTGCCCACCAAAAAGCACCTCAATTAGCCGGGGGCTGACGCTATCCCCCACCATAAACATCCCACCCCCCTTCATGGAATGGGGCTGAGTGCGTATTACTTTTTTGTTTCTTGAATCAACTTCAAGTATTCCAGGTCGGTGCCGCAGACTCAAGCGAGAAATGCACCCTTCCCCTATTTTTGCAATGGAATTCTAACCGCGATTGAGCCTTGTGGGATGGGTTCGACACAAGACCGTAGGCATTCTATTCCCCCGGGTCCTTAGTCAAAATTCATAATCACCGAAAGACCATACAGACACTCTCACTGTAATAAGTCTGTTCGTCCCTCGACGGCAGTGCCCGCAAGGCGACCATAGAGCTACTTCCCACTCGCTGAAGGATTATCGAGTGGCTCTGGAAGCCGAAGGCTTCTTTTGGCCCTCATCAAATGTAGGAAAGTGGATGCTCGAGCAGTCACGACTGGGCGAAGCATCTGCAACTAGCCCTGCAGCGCTCTAAGTATGCCTCTGTATTGAGCGCAAGGCTATCAATCTGCGCACATTCTCTTTTCCATATGTCTTCCTCAAAAAAAACCCTCCCTGTCGTCTCATGCCTGTTCATTCAGATAGAGCTTTGATTGCAGAAACCTTCCCTTTCGCTGAGGTTGGTACTGAAGAGAAACCATACGAGATGATGTACAAATCGCTTGTGTCGTGTTTGTTGCTTGATGGTATGTTCTTCCCTTCATCTAGCCCTCATAGAATTCGAGTGGTGTTTCTCCATGCTGCGACCGAAGGAAGACTGCGTATCACTGTTGCTAAATCTGAGCAGCAAGCGGCCTTGCCACAGCTTTCGAATTCTCCACGATAAGCACTGCAAATATATCTTCGTTCTCCCATGCGTCCGCTACGGCGCCGCCAATGAGACTTGGCTCGACCTCTCATTCCTACACGACCTTGAAGTCTTCGAACATACCGCAAGGGCAGTCGCCTCCGAATTCCAACAGCCGTGGCGATTATGTCACAACCCGTTACACGACCCAACATCCAACATACACACTACCCTTAGGCTTTACCAACACGGAAGACTTTGGTCCTAGCGGTGTCGTTCTGGTCGGGCCGACCACGTGGGCGACCCAAGATGTGCTGCCAGTAGTAGAAGTTGCCAATGACCTGACCACGACATCCTCAACTCCACAACCGTGGGATGCCAATGGCTTTCTTTACGACAAAAACAAAACTGTCGTGGCATCGTTTATCAGCTACGGAAGACAACCGGCCTGTACCTCGGATTTCTTCTCTTACGCGGCCGCCAATCCGTCGACTACTGTGACTCCCAGATGGGCTACGTTTTTTACCTTGACCAATGGCCAGACTACAGTGGCTGTGTCTTACTCAACCGTACTCTGGCCTATAACCTCAGAGCCGTATTGTTGCGGAAGATGTTCGATATACTTCAATAACCTCCAGATGCTATACTGGCCTGCTCTTCATCCCAACACAGCCTGTTTAGGCAAAACTTCGGCTGGTTTCGATAGTACAAGTACCAATGCGGGGACTGCTGCTCGTAACCACTCCGTTTATGCAACCGACTCAGACGGATACATATAGTAAGTAGCTCTCATAGTGACGCTGCTACATGCTTGGGACTTACTAATGGATCGTTCAGCACATCGCCTTCCATATACGTCAAGTTCCCTACAGTGTCCGCGTCCGATGCCTGTGGACTGATCGGATCAGCAGCTACTTCCATAACCCTTGCCTTCTCGGCACGGGAGCTATCTACATTCATATTGAATGATGGGACAGGAACCAATTACCAAACCTTTACATCGGCACTTGACACTGCCGAACTACCATGTGGCCCGTGGAATGGGACCGATCACTTTCTACCCGAAGCATGGTCCAACTATTCCTCCTACCAGCCTCTGATAGTATTGCCTTCTAAATTGATTGCTATGGTGCCGGCATGGAAATCCTGCACAGCTGACATGTTCGAAGGCCAGGACCCTCCCCGTACCCTAAGCCCTGCAGCAGCTATGGCACCAGCGCCAACAAATGTAGGTACGCAGGCCCAGAATAATGCTGCTTCACCAAGTCCCTCAATTCCTGCTTTACCACACAAAACGGGAGCAGGAGTCTCTCAACAGAAAGATCCAGATCCAGATCCATCTCCGAATTCGCCTTCTAAACCTGTTGATCCGTCCACAGGAACTTCGGGAGATCCCAGTAATTCTAATCCGTCTCCCAAGCCTAGTGGTCCATCGACGGGAGAGTCTGGAGATTCTAGCAGTGACAACCTGCATCCTAAGCCTAATGATCCATGGTCAGGAGATTCCGGAGTTCCTAACGACTCACAGGATCCCGCAGGCAATGCAGCATCTGCGGCCACAGCGCCCGCTCTCGACCCTACACAAGCCCCTGCAGGCGACCCACCATCGAACGGCCCTTCCAATCCATCCGCAGCCGACCTTAGCGACACGAAGAACACTCCGCTCACTCTTCCATCCGCTATCGTCTTACATGGTCATACCATCACACAAGATGCTGCTCCAGTGACCATAAATGGAATGCCGGTGGTGTATCAATCAGGATCAATCAGCGCGGAGGGCGAGGTAAAGGCGATTCCGGCCGGCTGGGGTGTCTTTGACCCCATAGAAAAAGAGTGATATAGCCGACGTGCGCACAGGTCATAGCGGAGAGTGGCTGGGAACATGGCTGGGAACTCCACATTTCGACATAAGGCCTGCCATAGTTCGTAGCCGACTTTGAACCGGAGAAGTCACCATCATACACACCGATACTCTTGGCCCTCTGTCTCGTGCCCATTGTCTTTGGCCAACGGAAGTCTGTTATCAACCACCTGACATAACCGAGTTTGCTACCAAACATCATCTTCGACTCAATAGTAGCTGCACGACTTAAGCCCGCGTGATCCGCATTCGTCTACGGCCCCTCCGATAGTGGTGTCCTCCTCGGCGCGACAACAATCCTGAGAGTCTCGCTAACCACATCATTTCCGACTCAATAGTAGCTGTAACCACTGCCTCGTACCCATTGCTTGCGGGCCAACGACAGTGGTGTTCGGCCGTCTTTATCCGGAGAGTCTGCTACCACATCATTTCGGACTCAATAGTAGCTTTGCTACCACTGCCTCGTGTCCCTGGATTCAGCAGGCATTGGCGCCATGACATAAGTGATAGGGTGACTTGGCCACGAACGCACAGGAGGGTATAATGGGACTATGGCGGGTAACGGAACTATGATGTTCATGGGTGACGGGAAGAAAAACGGCCTTCGGTTCAAGGGGTGGGTTGCCTGGGTTTGGACTGTATTAGTATTTATCGAGAGTTCTGATATTGTCAAATCATTTCGACTCAATAGTAGCTGTGTTCACCAGCTGCCTCAGTGCCCACGGTAGCCAGTGCAGAGGCCCGTTTACCAATGAAAGTGGTGTAATCGGCCCAGAACCTTTATCAAACGCGAGAGTAATTGCTAACCACATCATTTCAGAAGCCTTCTCAAGAAATAGAGACCATTTACCACTATCCCCGTTCCCCTTGCTAGTGGTCACGAAACAAGTCTAGTCTCCCCCAACATCCATCGACCGCTCGGCGCAGACGAGACTCGACATCAGAAGCGTTGGGTCTTCCAACGTAGACTTCGAGGTGGCTAGACCGCGGAGTCTACAGTCCATCATCGTTTCTTGTGATGCCTGCCACGGAATTTGTGGTGTGGGCTGCTGGCTCGGGTTGATTCTCTAGGCAGGTGTGCAGGGAACGGGATCAGATAGTAGGAAATGGAGTATTGACAACGAAGAGCTGCTCTTTGAGAGAAGGATATTTTGATCGAGAAAAACGAATCCGACTCTACATTAGGTGATGATTAGAATCAATCTTCCGAAACGTCCTCTATTCGTCTTTTTTTTGGCGTATAGCTCACGTCTCCGAGAGTCTGCTACCACATCACTTCGACTCAATAGTAGCTGCACCACTGCCACGTGCCCGCTCTCTGCGGCCCATGACAGTGGTGTTCGGCCGTCTTCATCCCGAGAGTCTACTACCACATCACTTCGACTCAATAGTAGCTTTACCACTGCCTCATTCCCATTGCTTGCGGCCAACGATAGTGGTGTTCGGCCGTTTTTATCCGGAGAGTCTGCTACCACATCACTTCGACTCAATAGTAGCTGCACCACTGCCTCATGCCCTTTCATTGCGGCCACCCGCAGAGTGGTGTTCGGCCGCTAATTCATCCTGAGAGTCTGCTTTTACATCATTTCGACTCAATAGTAGCTTTACCACTGCCTCGTGCCCATGCATTGCGGCGAGACACAGTGGTGTTCGGCCGTAATCATCCTGAGAGTCTGCTACCACATCACTTCGACTCAATAGTAGCTTCACTACCGCCTCACGCCCCTTCACAACCGCCCACAACAGTGGTGTACGACCACGATTGTCCTTAGACTCCAGCTCAGCACCGTTCTCGAGCAGTTGCTGCACTACTACTTCTTGTCCTTCTGCAGCTGCCTGGAGTAACCAATAATCACGTAATGTCGGCAATTTATCTAGGTCCTCTTCCCAGAATTTGCAGTCAGTGGCCAAAGCTGGACCAGCTGCTACTGCATGATTCCGCCACTCACGACTCGCATATGCGAAAAAGCAGTAGTCGTCTAATAAGCTTCCCCAATGCGAATCTCCAAAGAGTAATCTGTTCTCCAGCGTTTCGTGCATTGACTTCGTATGTTGTTTGAATTCTTCCAGGCAGAAATATGTCCAACAGGTTCTGAACATTAGGAGATTTGTCGTGTCGAGGACAACATGATACTGGGACAGGTCACCGTTCCCTTGGAGATGTGCACCCAAAAGGTAATCCTTGGCGGACTGATGAACGAGGTTGATGGTTTTTTTGACAGTATCAACGTAGACAAGCGGCTCGCAGCGTATGAAATCATCCTGAAAATAATTCAAGAGGTCTTCCGGTGGTCTCGTGTTACCTTCCCATTCTCCATTGCCTAGAACGCGTGCCATTGCAAGTTCTCTCACAGTCAGAGGCCTTCGCGCAACAGCCACCCAGTGGAGCACCGAACTTGCGATTTTCATGTCGTCGTCGTCTTCGATCCGACTGAGAATCTTGTCGTACAAATTGTTGAGGCCTGAAGGTAGTTCCTGCAGCGTTTTTATGACTACCGATTTCGCCTTTTTGTTGAGATCATCCAAGACCAGTGAGACATACAGGAACGTTCCCTCAGCCTTATTTGTCAAGGCATGCTTGACGTCTTCCTTCAGGCTCTCACTATATTTCTTTCTTGTCGACAACTCGTTGACTTTAACAACGATAAATTTGGACAAGTCGTCATTGACTTTCCCTGAGTCAACCTGGAGATTCCGGATGGCTGGACCGACTGCGGACAGTGACTCAACTATGTCTTTTTCCCGTCTACTGGTGACAATAAACTTGACATATGTCTTTTCGCTCTGCTGAGAAACGAATAGTTTCTTGAAAGCGGTGAGAAACAGCTGACGTGATTCATTCTCACATTCATCCAAAGCATCTATCAAGCAACAGACCTCACCCGCTTCGGGATCCTGTACGATGCTAATGAAAATCGTCCACAGCGCATGGAAATTCGTGAAGAGGCCGTCGCGCAACGTATCAAAGCGCGTCTGCAGAATGTGCTTGAAGAGAATTGGTCGCTGCCGTAATAATTGCAGCAGTAGTCCCCGGAGAATGGATGTGGCGGTCCTACGTTCCTGGAATTTGTCATCACAGAAGTAGTATGCCAACGTCATCTGCGATGAATGCTCTGCTAACTGCGTGAGTTCTTCCACCAAGAAACTGGACATCATCGTCTTTCCGATTCCGGGCGCGCCAGAGAGCCAGAGCAGCTGTGGACTGTCTTCAACTAACCATGACGTGTATCGGTCTTGAGTGAGAATCCATTCGCAAGTGCCATCGACTCTGTCTCCCTTAGCATTGCGGATCGCTGCGAGGTCAAATTGAGGATCGGAAAGGCATAGAGATTGCAGACATTCCAAGTTCTCGGGGGGTATCCCTGTGTGACTGAAGTCAGTCGATATGGCCGACCAATTTACTGGTGTGCATCGTACTTGAATTGTTTTTAACAATTGCCTGAGCTGTTCACAGATATGTCAGCTTGGGTACATAAATGAGTTGAGATCTGCTTACGGTTCAGTCTGCTTTGGACTACACGAATTGCCTTCTGGGCCATATCCACAATTGAGGGGTATACTGCTATATAGGACGGATCATCGGGTCCGCTGTACTTGTTGATCTTCAGATGATCGGTTGGTAGGGGCACCTTTCGATGACCGTCTATACAGCCTGAAATCTCGTCCACAATCTTATCGAGGTCTTGCTGTCAGAGAGATCGTAAAAGATCTGAAGTCATGGGCGCCTTACCAGCTCCGTCCATGTAACACCATACCTCTTTCCATAATCTGTTTTATGCTGCTCAAAAAAGCAGACAAGTTCGAGTGGGGCTCTGTTGGCCCATAAAGTGAACTCATATAGGAGATCTCTAAGGCTCTCTGCACCTTCTCGAAGGTCCTTCAATATACTATCCTCTGATCCAAACCCTAAAGCCTTTGCAGTCTTGGCGGCAATTTCTCCCCATTTCCCAGCTGGGGTACCGCGATGGGGAGTACCAAGAAAGATTGATCCCACGGTCGACTCAGCAAGGTACTGAAAGCTGCCACCATGAGAGTTTGCGGTCACCAAACTCTAAAAAAAGATAAGTACTTGTGCTGATCGCATATGAGATGGTCCTATCTCACCTGCTCAATGACTACTCCACCAAGGCTATGGCCGATGAAGATCAATGGTCTGTATTTCGTATCCTTCTCCTGCTAATATTTAGACCCATGAGATTAGATCCCTGGCTGGAGAGTCAATCACCTCTTTGCGTTGATTGTCCAAAGCCGTCAGCAACTGGATAGCGCATAGAGGAAGGCGTTGCTTTGGAGCCTTCAAAAACCACTTCGACTCATAGTTGAAAGTCATGATTCGGGAACCGGGAAGTCTTGCGGGAAGCATGTTCTCGTCTGCAAGCCAATTGACATGTACTTCTTTATCGCCGTCTTTCACTTTCCTGATCCATGCCCAGTCCGGACTGGCACCCAGACCATGAACTGCAACGATGCTGAGAAGAACAACACAGTCAGTACACAAAACTATACGCAAAGCCACTAGATTCGGGACCTACTCCACACATGGATCTTGGCCTTCAAAGAGTACCTTCAACCCCAGCACTTCTGGACAATCCGCCATTCAGTAGGACTCTCGATCAAAGTGTCCTTACCCGATTGACTAGTTCACGTTGAAAGAAGCAATGAATAGACCCAGTCGATTATCACAACGCGACCGCAGTATCCCCGGAGAGTGTTTCCCGTAGACGTGAAATTCTTTCTATGTGATCACACTTACAGTCAAAATTCGTAGGGGATGGACACCTCAATCATAACACAATTGATTGAGACAATACTTGGAAGCAGACGCCGGTCCCGTTGAACAACGTAGTGGATGGAGGGGTCAGCTCGCGAACACATGCCCTACCGCCTGATTTCAGATAACACTCGTCTCGCTGATTCGTGCGCGTAAAGTCGTAAATTGATGAAGAATTGGTCGAATGCAAGTACCAGCTTATGTAAACTACTTTAATCTTAGAGAGGAAGCTCGACAGCCTATGACGCCTATCTTTACGGCTGACACCCGCTCACCCTCCCGGCTCAACTCTACCATCTTGTCTGAAGGGCAGCGAGAGGCCCCCGACTTCGATTCAGGCATGCCAGCCTTTAGGAACAATAAATCTCGGTCAAAATCGAGAACCCGTGATAGTGTTCAGAGACAAGTCTGGCGTGACATCTTTATGAGCGGCCGAAGCGGAGGAGCACGAGGGGGTGGAAAAGCTACTACTAGAGAATGGCGCCAAGAAGGCTGGCACACGTGAGCATTTTGACAGGCGTTGGATGCATCCGGAATGGAACTCGGATAGTGATTCTCCGCGGGACTTCTATTTCCTACCCGACTTCCTCAGCACAGACAAAGGTCGTTCATCAATGTCCCGCCCTTTGGCTCTCCTATCAGTAGAATATAGTAGCGAGATAAGAGAAGACAAATAGTGAAAGGACAGTTCCGACGCGGCCTGCAAAGGGCCTCCCACATATTCACAGCTTCACAGTCGGAACCCTTTTCTAGCTCAAATGAAAACACAGGTGACAAGGGGGAGGCCTGCGCTTGAAGACCTCTTGCGAAACGAGCCCGGCGTTTGATTCGTCACATTTACCCTGCTTCCATGCTAGAAGATCAATATTACACTGGACTGGCAGCAAGAGAGCTCTGAGTTGCTGCAGGTTTCTTCGTAGGTTTCATCGTAGGCTTCTTCGTAAGCCCTTTCGTCATATGATACACCAACGTTGCAATCGTATGGTAGACGACGAGTATAAAGACGGTTCCGACGGCGAGACAGATACAGGCGTACGGAAAGACAATTGAAAAGACTGTGAATCCATAGGAGGCTCGTTGGAAGGCGTCATTGTGTTGAAGACGAGTTGTCGCAAGTCCGACCTGCATTGCGGTCAGGACGAGGGCGATAAATGCAAACAAAGAGACGATGCGGGCATAGTTGTCGTGCCAGAAATTATTGTATGTATTATAGCCGTATGGGGACTTCAAAGTACACCGGTATATCCAGTTCAAACGGGTCAGTTTCAGTTCGCCGTAGGTATAGCGCTTGTTGATGTTGCGCTTGTTTGCTGGAGTGAGCAGCTTTTTGACAAGCCTTCTCCAAGCTGGCCAATCCAGAGCGTTTGGTACGAGATGTGCGTCCTTAGCGATGTGAAGATCACTCTCGTATGTTATTAAGGAAGCATAGGATATCATAAAGCCAAGTGCGCATTTATATATCTCGCATCGGTCACAAAGAGGGACTTCTTCTCCCGTCTCGGTGCCGCTTGCACCCTGCGTGCTACCTTGAGCAGCTGCGCATTGTTCCTGGCAGCTAAGATTTTCGTCCCAAAATGTTGGATCGAAGAGATATCCAGGGATCGGCTTGAGAAACATTCGTTTGTCGTCCAAAACAAGATGCAAGTCAAACTGCTCATGGACAATAATATCGCGCTTGACGGCTTTTTGATAGTGTAGAGGCCTTGGAGGCATGGGTCGACCGACAAGGAATAGCCATTTGTGGATCTTGTGCAGCCTTTCAATACCAAACTCTTTCTTGAAGAAACTTGTGGAAATCTCGAATGGTCCGACTTCATCCTTTTTGGTACGATGTGAGGTGGGGAATAGGTCGTCGTACGAGGGTTCCGTCAGACCCGGGATTCGAATTTGGAAAGGTGAGGCAGGAATTGGGTTGGGGGTCGCGCTTGTTGTCGATCCGTTGGCTCCAGGATGCTGACGGTTGACTCCCGTCAGACTTGTAATTTGAGTTTGGATAGGTGATCCCAAGGGATCGTGAGTGAGCGATGCGGACATAGCCTGTAGCCTGTCAGTTCTAGGTTTTTATGCGTGGGTAAAACGTCAGCCAAGGGCTATTTACTCCAGATGTAGCTATCCCCGAAGCTACTTGAGTTCAGAGCAGCTCTTTGGCAAGTTGCTCTGCTTTATTTTCCCTCAAAAGCCAAAAAGCCCAAGACTGGGTGAGGTCGACTTAGGTTTGGGCACGATCTTTTCTTCAAAACTTGGCGGCTGGAAAGTAGGCAACTACTGTCGAGCGCCAAGATATCCTCCGAGCAAACTCACAAACATCCGAGGGATCCTCAAAGCATTCTCGGCATTCTAGGCCTTGATTCTCACAAAGACCTCTGAAACAAGGTTGATACGACAGCCTGTGCTGCCAAATCTAAAGCGAATGTCCTGAGCCTGCTAAGGGCAACCCCTCCCGCAATACTGCCCCACCTTTAAGCTCTGAACGAGCTCCTTCGCCTAATCCTTCATCATGTCTCATCGTTCGATATCGAGCCATCATTCAGCTGCGAGACACTTTACGTGCTACGTACGGAACGGCGGGCAGGATATAGAGGAGAAGGCGGAATTACACCACTCGCTGTTGACGACTGCTTCAATCCAGTCTGCAGCCTACGTACGGACGGACAAACTGTTCTCCCATGCTTAGCTGTGCGAGTCTTGCTTGTGCATGAGAAAGATTAGTTATATACTACAACGCTATGTGTCGAGGCTTGCGAGCACTATTAGCCCCACTATGAAGAACGCCATAAGGCTACTACACTGGGCGAAGGTCTTTGGTGAAAAGATTGGAAATGTCCTTCCGAAGAGCGCATTGACCATCTCTCCTGAGGTTTATCCCAATGGAACCGCCAGGGATACTGGGGACCGCGAGCGGGTACTGTCGTGCTGTTCTTACTTCTCCAGTATCCCAAGACACTTGACTTGGGCTGTCCTGCTTGTTACCTGTGGAGTCCTAGCACGTTGATACACATGTTGTAGAGCGTAGCGGAGACCAAGGCTTTCAGCTCTATAAATTGAAGAACACATTGGCTGGGTACTGAGGTCTATATGCTGGATATGTACATGACGCATGGGGAACTACATACCCTGGGCAATCGCCCGCACATATACAGGTTCACCATCAAGAGTTGAACATATCATGCAATGGTATAAACATCATACATAACCCATAGGGCGCCTGGAACATTGTGAGAATCTGGTGAGTGACATTTGCGCAAACATGCGTGTTCTCAATTTGTCACCAAAGACTGGTGAAGAATGACGTTGGGCTCGGCTCCTCAAGCCAACATATATGTGCCCCCCGTGCAGTCAGGCTTCGCGCGAGTGAGCAGGGGTAATAGTCGCCCCACTATTCGCGTTTCAGCCATCATTGATTCTTAAGAGTGGGGAAATCGGTATATTCTGACCTTATAGCACTCAACACTTTCGACTGATAGATCCGACCCTCCAGATTGCCAGATTGCCCGGTAGCCTTAACCCTTAGGTCTCCTACCCAGTGGCACAGAAGATGAACCCTGCTTATACCATTCTCCCAATGTTGATCCAAATCGCATGCCGCTCGAGGTCTCACACGGTGAGCCGTCCTTGCTCTACAATGTGTTGCACTACTGTTGAAAGAGATACCAGAAGTTAGAAAAGAATGATTGTGACGAAAGACTGATTATTGATTCATGGGATGTACGGATATTATGTACATAACAATAGAACAGGTGGGTGATGGTGGCTGGTAATTACTAGCCCTGGTAATACGCGACATGTATGCGATAGCCGAAGGGGCTGGTATTGTAGCACTACTGGCAATACCTTTCCTGATACTGGAGTCAGGAAGGCTACCTGCCAAATTCAATTTCACATCTCCAGCCAACATGTCAAAGACAAGGACCTCATTATCATCAACCCAACTGATATACGCGATATGGCTAGCTGGGTCCTTGGCAAGTGCTTCTCGGAGGAAAGGCTGGGTGGCGTTGTCACGGAATACCTCGCAAATGCACTCGATTGGCTACTTGTTCCTAGCTCTGATTACTTCACTGAAGATATGCATTAGTTCCCCCTACCCTCTAAACTCTGACCACGCTTCTCTCAACCACCTTTGCACGAAACCAACCAGTCCTCTGCCCACCATATAGCCCCTTCTACGACCTTCCCAAATCTGCATATTTGGAACCTTGATAACGACGAAGAAAATTGAATTCCTGGCGGTTGGAACCCTGCTATTGGCTGGGAAATCGGAAATTGTGTTAAGAATGCTGCGATAAAACGCTCGAGAGAAGCGAGCTGATATACCTGATATACGAGCTTGAGCGGAGATACAAGGATCTAGAAAATGCACTCAGGTACATGGAACATGAGGTCAACAACTGTTCACAAAATTGGTGGACGCCAGTATCGGACCATGAGCTAGCATTGAGTTCATCTGTGTTGCCTTCATCAAAAGCACCTAGTCCCCGGCGAATGTCTTTACGGACTCAGGCAGGGCTCGTTTGGCGGAGACCTAGGGCCCGGATGAACCGAGTGGGCTCGCTTGCAACGATAGGTACGGGAAAGTCCGGAGGGGAGTTCATGGTTCGGGTGGGTTCAACAACGGCAGTGACGGTGTTACAATTATAGGTATGTTTGACGTTGTGGGACTGAGGGTTCTCGCGCAAATATTAGGTTGAAAGGGAGGAGCGCGGAGGGTAGTTGCTCGATCCTTGTGTCTTCTTGGGTCCAACAAGTGTTGTAGGGGCGCGAGGCATCTACGTCGACTTTGTAACATGAAGATAAGGGCATGAAGTGTGATTCTGTTCTAGAGAGAGGGGCGGAAGGGTCTGAGGAGAGCTCATTTACCGATGGGTGGACCAAGAGGCTTGAGGACCGCTCATGTACCGATCAAGCGCGCGCGTGGATGCATTTTATCTTCTGTCAAGTCTTCTTGGAGTCGGGTCAAAACCTTGTCTTATCACGTCTTATGAAACTTCTCGCTGCCTCATGAAATGAGATAGTCTTTAAATACATTCTCAACATCTCATGTGGTTACCACTGGTCAAAAAGCCAGGGTTCGCCAGCGCCCAAGAGATAACTTACAGTTCTTTCAAAGCGGCGACCTTACTCGCAGATTGTCCTTGATGATACATTACCGTGCTGCCGCTCATGCCAAACCATCGAGTAACGAAGTGGAATGAGTATTCGTGGAGATAAAGAAAGTTGACGATTTTGCCGCCCTCGATTCCTCGCGACACGCTGCCTGCCCGTGATTTCTCAATCTGAAGTGCTCGGAGCCGGAAGTCTAGGCCGATCATTTCCAAAGTACCTTTGGTGAGAGCCAATAAGAATCTAGCCTGGCAGCCTTGGAGAGATAAGACACGATCTCCTTTAATTGGATAGTTAGACGAGGTGTGGGTGGCGTCCTGGGCCTTGGCGAGGCTGGAGGTCAGACGGACTCTTGACAAGAACAGAACAACTCTCCTCCGCTTCATCTAACATGGTTTTTGACCGTTGAGTTGAGGTAGTGCATCTTTGACCCCTTGCTGCCGCTATGTCCGCACGTGATGGGAGAATCGCGGTGTTGAAGATCTAAGCGTCCAGCTAATTTGCTATTGTTAGTCGGTCGAGCCTACGTTAGAGTCTTGTAACGATGGCTTTCCGACCATCGGATGAGGCCATCATGGGGCTTTATACGTGGACACCGACAGGTGACAGCCCTAGCAGTGATGGAGCAGAGCCCAGTAAAGCTATTGAGTGAGTCTATTGATGCCTCAACGTACGTCTAAATGACGAATGTGATTAGCATCATCGCTGTTCAAGGCCTCGGCGCCAGTCCGTATTATACCTGGATCAAGAAGGTCCCAAAGGCTGGTGGTGGGGTTGAGGAAGTGATGTGGCTACGAGACTTGCTCCCCGGGTTCGTGCCAAATGCGCGGATCGCCACCTTCAGCTATAGATCGGACTGGTACTCTTTTAGGAAGGGGGCCAAGAAGACCAGTATTCGCGAATTGGGAGAACAATTGCTCATGGCCTTACACCAAGATCGACAGAAAATCAAGGTAAGAGACTCTAAATCTCGTATGGCTTTCCCCACTCAAACCACAATGCTCAGGCATCTCGGCGACCGATCGTATTCATTGGGCATAGCATGGGTGGGCTGGTCATCGAACAGGCTCTCGTGCATGCCAGCAATCGATCCGAGTGCGAAGATATCAGGAACTCGACTACTGGTGTCGTTCTCCTGGGGACGCCTCATGAAGGGACTCCTGTTGCAGCAATCGGAAAGTTCTTCGCCAAGGTCAGATTCAATGACTCTAAGCTACTGGAGCAATTGCAGCCAAAGGAAGAACAGGTGTATAATCTAATGCATGATTTCGCTTCTGGATATAAGCACCTGAGCATCATGTGCTTCTACGAAAAGCTAGACAACAGTTACCTAGATGGATGGTTTAATGTCCCCATTGTTGACAAACGTTCAGCAGTGCAAGTGGGAAGGGGGATGATGTACTTGATAGCAGATCACTCTGGCCTGAACAAATTCTCCGGAGTCGACGATCCCAACTTCAAGTCCGTTTGTGACGCCATCACTGGAATGGTCAACAAGGCTTCTGAGCGCGAAGGTAAATCCAACCTTTCATAGCGGAATGCCCAATTGTGCCCCAAAGCTTGTACCTGCGCTTATGTACTGTTAGTTCCGCGGCTCCATGATCACCAATTCATGGTCTCCAGGCGATCAAATCCGCTGTTTACTGGGCGGAAAAGCGAGCTCGACAAAATGAGAAAAGCTCTGTGTCCCTCGACCCCAAAGGAGAAGCAAAGTACCGAGGCAAACGTATACGTCCTCTATGGCATGGGTGGCGCAGGGAAGAGCGAAGTGGCCCTGAAGTTTGCTTACGACCATCGCCCACAGTAGGATCTTTGAGCCGTGATTCGCATACTACAGCTAATCATATTTTAGATTCTGGGGCATCTTTTGGGTAGACGCAAGAAGCGAATCTTCTATCGCGACTGGCTTTGTGGATGTCGCTCGGCGATGTGGTCTTGCTGAGAGCATCAACAGTGCAGTTTCTTGGCTTCAAGATACGTCACATTCGTGGTTACTTATCCTAGATAACGCCGACAACCCAAATCTCGATTTGTCTCCTTACCTTCCCGCCGGAACAAAGGGAAACATAATAATTACTTCACGCGTCGTTGAGTGTGCGCAACGGTACAACAATGCTGGAAAGGACTTATACGAGCGATTGGACAAAGAAACTGCTGTGGAGCTCCTCTTCAAGTCATGTAATATTGATTTGGTTTCACGGAGTGAACATGAAGACCATGCGCATGCTATTGTGGACCTCCTGGGCTGTCATGCCCTTGCTGTAACTCAAGCTGGAGCAAGTATCTCGCAGGGAGTTTGCAAGCTTGAAGAATACAGATCAAGGTTTGTGAACGAACGGGGTGTGCTTTTGCAGTACTTGCCCGAAACGAAGTCCGAATATGGTGACGTCTATGCTACTTTCGAGGTTTCCGCAAGATACCTTGAGGGATGCAGCGATGAAGTCGCAAAGGACGCACTCCAGTTGCTCAACTTCCATGCATTCATGCACTTTTCGGACTTTCCGGAGGAAGCCTTCGAAGAGGCGTGGAAGAACTCAAAGGATGAGACTTTGATCTTTCCTCATCTACGGCGGAGTGACGAGAAGATGATATACAAGCTTGGTCAATGGCATCGGTCTAATCTCCCAGCGTTCATGCGGCAAACCCTCTATAACAAGGATCTTGATATGATATCCCTCCGGAAAGCCCGAGCAAAGCTCGCATCCCTTTCTCTCATCAACATCGACACAGCTACAGGCATGACAAGGATTCACCCTGTCACTCATGCGTGGTCTAGAGATCGATTGGTAGACCCCGGATCCGCAGATGCTTGGCTCAACGCTCTTGCCATGCTTTCTCTGTCATTCCAAAATTTGGCTGAAGATCAGCCGTTGGCGCAACCACTCCAACCTCATCTAGAGTCAATGGCAAAGCGTCCAACATACTATGATGATTACAAAGACACCTTCAGTTTTCAACAATCTTTCTATCGCCTCGCGTCTATTCTATACTACTCACGCAGTGACTCAGCTGCCTATGAAATGCTTCAACTCATTCCCATAAAGGCTGACGACGCGTGGATTGTGACTAGTCATGGTCAGGCCATTCAACTTCTTCAAGCTCAAATTTTGACACATCTTGGGGGCTATGAGAGAGCAAAAGTGCTTCTAGAACGAGTTATCGAAGCTCAAGCAGAAAATTTAGAAGCCAAGAACGAGTTTCGGCTTGCTGCTCAAGGAAACCTTGCTCGAATCTACCAGATTACTAAGCAAACAGCTGAAGCTGTCAAAATCTTCAGACGAATTGTCGAAATCAAGACGAGCACCTCGGGCGACGTTGAAAATCGCTCTCTCCTAGGCTCACAGTACGCGCTTGGTGTAGCATACTCCTTGAACGGAGATCTAGGGGATGCAAGAACAATCTTGGAGCACGTGGTACAAGTAGAAACAAAAATTTCAAAATCAGAATCTACGTCTCGGTTGGCTTCAGAATCCCAACTTGCTCGAGTGTATCTAAGACTGGGAGATAGGGTTGAAGCCACAAGGATGTCTAAACAAGTAGCGCAAATTCGATCGGAAATCCTAAGGCCGGGGAACCCAGATCGTCTGCGCTCTGAATACATGCTTGCTTGCTGCTACTACGAATCGGGCAAATACGAAGAAGCCATGAGAATCATTAAACAAGTAGCGCAAACTCAATCGATAATCCTAAAGCCGGATAATCCAAGTCGTCTGCGCTCTGAACACATGCTTGCTTGCTGCTACTGCGAATTGGGCAAATACGAAGAAGCCATGAGAATCATTAAACAAGTAGCGCAAACTCAATCGATAATCCTAAAGCCGGATGATCCAATTCGTCTGCATTCTGAATCCATGCTTGCTAACTGCTACTACGAATTGGGCAAATACGAAGAAGCCATGAGAATCGTTAAACAAGTAGCGCAAACTCAATCGAAAATCCTAAAGCCGGATGATCCAATTCGTCTGCATTCTGAATGCATACTTGCTAACTGCTACTACAAATCGGACAAATACGAAGAAGCCATGAGAATCATTAAACAAGTAGCGCAAACTCAATCGATAATCCTAAAGCCGGATAATCCAAGTCGTCTGCGCTCTGAACACATGCTTGGTCGCTGCTACCGCGAATTGGGCAAATACGAAGAATCTCTTCGGCTTGCAAGATCCATCGAACATCTTGTACGCAACATTCCACGGGAGCCGCTCGCTGATTGGAATACCGCACTCATCCACGTCTGTCTTGAAGGGATTAAATTGGAGCAAACATCAGACGGAGATGAGGGTTGGGCGGAGAGCCAAAAAGAGACTGAGGATGGAGCCCAGAACGAGGACCGAGATGAGATCGAGGACGAGCATGACGACAAAGTCGAGGATGGAGCCCAGAACGAGGACCGAGATGAGATCGAGGACGAGCATGACGACAAAGTCGAGGATGGCAAGGATGATGGTGACAAGCGTGAGCTGGGAGGGCCAGCCTGGAGGAGATATCCTAGGTGTATAGTCAACTTGATGATGAGGTCTAGAGACCGAATGAGTTGCACTAGCTGAGTAGGAGCGGATCCTTTTTAGTTGTTCGTAGCTGATGGCAATCAGCCTTGTCTTGGGGTAAGTTCCTCGCATTGGCGCTTGCGAAGAGTCAAGGCGCCAGGACCGCTGAGACGCGATCCCTGGAGCCACCTGCATTGAGCAATGGGCAGAGGCCGTTTTCGGATGTTTCCTTGCGCGAAGTCCCCAGCGAGTTTTCGTATATAGACATGGTCCATGCCCACCTGCATGTGATTCCTTATGCAGTCCGATCACACAGCTCTAGCCTCCGCAGATCTCACTCAACAGAATATGAGCCGGTCAGCCAAGTGAGCGTGTATACGTCGTCCGCAGGAACCTCCAAACGACGATCGAGCATCCGCGGCGCAAACAGCGACAGCAAGTACGGGCTTCATTCCGGATCCCTTGTATCTATCCCTGACGGATTGGGAGAGCGCTCACACGGAGCGCAATGATGCTAAGACTGCACGAAATTCTATGACCTGGCTTGCAAGTCATCGGCTGATTTTACGTGCTTTTGGTCCTATGCACCCTGCATAAGCATCGACTGCAGAGGCTCGACGAGGACCAGCTTCGTGATGAGAGTAATATCAGGCAGCAGCTCTCCCCCGTCGACGCCGTTAACAAGGTACATATGAAAGAGCTTAATCGAGATGATATTCATATTTCAACAGACGCCAACGCTGTTCTTGTGTGACAACGCCAAGACGCAGGTAAGAAGCCGCGAGAATGACATTATGAGATCGTAGCTCGTCTAAGGCAATGATTAGAAAACCACCAGACTGCATCCGGTAGGCCATCAGGTATGTAGAACGCTATCTGCGTAGCCGTGACGACTTTCAATTTGATGGTAGCGAGGTCCGGGCTTGAATCCATTATAAATTCGTTAGATTTACGCTTTTTAATTAGATATCGCGAGTAAATAAATTAGCGTTCGTAATTATTAAAAATCTATAAAAATCTATATATAGAAGTCTTCTACTCTAAAATAATTAGCTCTCTATAAATATTATTTCTTTATAATTTCGTAAATTATAGAGCTTAGTATACGCTTTCTAACGCTATAAAAATTATAAAGTTTAATCTACTATTAATAAATTAAACTAATATTTAAATATTATAGTTATATTAAATACGTTCGAAATCGAATAATAATTCTTTTATCTATTTATATAATTATTATTTCTTTATTACTCTATTAATTCTATTAATTCTTACTAATATAAATATATTTATTCTCTCTATCCCTCGCTCTTATATTACTAGATCTATAAGATATATATATCTCTTCTACCCCCCTTTTAGAGCCTCTATTAATATCTTTAAATTATTTTCTAATAAATTTATTATTATTAATAATCGAGCTTAAAAGCGAGTTTAATAAATATCTATTACTACTTATAAACGCGTTAAAAAATCTTTAAAAGAGTCTAAATAAATATATTCTTCTTTATATACTCCTCTTAAGCTAGCGATAATATCTTTTAACTTAGCGATACTATCTTTTAAAACGCGTTTTCCTTTCTTATTTATTCTTTATTATTCTATTTTAAAGCCTCTTAACGCGTATTAGATTCTAAATATTATTAAGAAGAAGCTTCTAAATAAGAGAAAGACGCTATTGAAGATTCTCTATTACGAGATCTATTAATAGACTTCTTTAATAATAACTCTTTCGATAGTCTATATTCTTTTAATCTATCTTTTAACTCTTATTTAGATTCTATTTAGTCTTTAATAAGACTTATTAGCTATATCGCGCGTTATCTATATATTATAAAGTCTATATAATATAATTTAGATTTTATAAATTAGATTTATAATAGCTATAATACGATATTATAAAAAGATAAGATCGCTAAATAATACTATAATAGCGAAAAGACTAAAGTTAATATATCTAAAATAAATATCGATTAAGAAGTAAACGATATAGAATAGAGCTATAAAAGCGTTAAAATAAGTATAAATAATTTAATTAATTTTAGCGAGTATATTATTAATTAAATTCTTTATTCTTTAATATTAGAGATCTTAAATTTTATTAATAATTATAAAGAATTTCGTTATTATAGCGTTTAATATAATAATATAACCTCTATAATCTTATAGTAGATTATTATTAATTATTTAATCGCTTTATATATATATAAAATTTAGAGAGTAATTACTACTTATATATCTATTCTAGCGCCTTTAAAGAGCGAAAAATCGATCTTTAATTAAATCTATATTATAAATAATATTTAAGATTAATTTATAATACGATATAACTTTCTTTTAATCGCGTTTTTTATATTAACTTTACTAGATATAGCTATTATAATTATATTAATTAGATACTTTATTATAAAATAGCTATAATTCTTAAAAGTATTAATTTATATATTAATATTCTTAAATCGATATTTAAAAAGTTAAAGGTTGATTTAAATATACGGGGCTATAAGTTACTTTATAAGAATTTATAATATTATAATCTATATATCTATAATTATTCTATTTTAGATAAAATCGCTATCGCTTAAGAGAGTAATATAAATAATTTATTAGATATATCTAAGACTAAGAATATCTTAATAGAGACTTAAAGTAATAAGAGATTTAGTATTTTATATTAATATTTAGTCTATATATATTTTTACGCTACTCTCTTATATTCTTATTTAACGAATAGTTATAATATAATAATATATTTAATATAGATATTATATTAAATAAAAGTCTTCTTATCTATTGACGTAGTAATAATAAAATTATTTTATAAATTAGAGAAAATATTAATCGAAGATAACTTTATATAAATAACGCTTATCTTATATTATAGATCTATATTATTTATTTCTTCTATTCTATTAATCGCTAACTTTCTATAAATATATAATATAAAGTTATTTTAATAAGTTTAATTATCTTTTTTACTATAGTAGACTATTATAATATTTTATCTACGATATCTATATAGCTATTAAAAATAATAAACTTTATTAATTAAAGATAAATTAGAAGATTATTTAAGCTAATATCTATTAAGTAGTTATTAATATTTATATTAATAAAGCTATTATAGATAATTAGACTAATAAATAATATATTATTCTCTCTTTCTTCTATTAAGAAGATCTATAATTTATAAAATAACTCTATTAGAATATTATTACTCTATTTATTAAGTTCGATTAATTAAACCTCTTTATAACTTTTATCTATAATTTAAAATAAATTAAGATTATTAAAAATCTTTTATTTAATAAACGCGTTATTAATTGATTTAATCTAATTATTAGAGTATTTAGATTAAAGCTAAAAACCCTTATAAATAATATTCTAAAGAAGAAGATATTAGATATACTTTTATTTTTTTTACCCTCTATTATAATATAATAATTCTCTTTCTTCTTATTTAATAGAGTAGTCTTTTAGATAATATATTAGTTAGATAATTAGTATAGATTATAATTTCTAAGAATACTTCTAATATAATTTAACTTACTATATATCGTAATTTCTATTAATTAGCCCTATAATATTATTTAAAAAAATTTCTTTACCTCTATAAGAGCGAAGTATAATTAATTAAAATATCGATTAATCTTAATTCTAACTAACTTTATAAGTAATAGATCGAGTTCCCGCCTATATCTATATTATTGAATTTTAAAAACGAGGCTTATTATATATCTATATTCTTATTATATTATATTCTAAAGATTAATTCTTTAGTATCGCTAAGATAGATATCGCTATTAATACTAAGATCTCTAATTAAAATCTATTTCTTAATCTCTATATAATTATTATTAGATATATACTTTATAGAAATTATAGCTAATATACTATTAATAGAATAAATACTATCTTATCTTATTAGAACTTAGATAAAAATATATATAATAAGCGATTTTCGAAGGACTTTAGCGACTATACGATCTTTAAATTAGATTTTAAATATCTTATATATTATTAATATAAGCCTATTAAGATATTAGATAATAAATCTAAATAGAATTATTAGATAATATTTTATAGTTTTTATTTATTAATTAAGTATAACGCTTATATTAATATAAAGATTTACGCTAATATTAAAGTCTATAAATATATTTTTAAATATATTTATAAGAGTAGCGATTAAGTTAATTTTTAAATAGAGTATAAAGACGATATAAATTAAAACGATATAGAGCTATATTAGATAAATAAGATTTAAAAGTATTAAAACGTATAGTAAATAAGCTCTATAAAAGTCTATTAAAGAATTTTTAGCTTTAAATTATATAATTATAATTCTTCTATTAAATAATTATTTATTTATCTTTTAAATTAATAAGGCGTAATATTTAATAATAATAATAATCTATTTTATATAGTCGATATAGAATATAAACGCTAGATTAAGCTAATAGTCTTCTTTTAATTAAATTAATAACGTTAATAAAGAAAATAAATAGAAGATCTCTTCTATATCGATCTATCGATATAATATATCTAAAAAAAAATAAGTAAGATATATTTAAATAAAGTCTACGTTAGAGGCGTAGAGATATTATTAAAAAAATATATTATATTAATTTAAACGCTAAAAAGCTCTTCTATCTATAATATCTCCTTCTAAATATATTAAATTCTATATTCTTTAAAGACTTATATATGATAGATAATAATATTCTTTTTTTTTATTATAATATCTATATAATAAGAGACTTACTTTATAATAATATTAAATAAAATTAAATATTAAATAAAGTAGCGGTTTAATAGAGAGAATATTATTTATAAAGTCTCTTCGTAATAATTCTACTATAATATAAGCTTAATAATTCTCTAAATCTATAAAATAATTATAAATTAAGATATATAGATAATTTCTTTTTTATTAAATAGAAATACTTTAAGCGTAATATAAATAGCTTATCGCGCTAACGATAATATTAAAATATTATAACTTTTTTTAATATAATATTTCTTTTTTTATATATTAAAACTTTTCGCGCTAGATATAT